TAAACAATATTTGTAACAGCATGCACCTTGATGTGTACTTAAGGGCAGCAGGCTCACTGTACTTATTTGCCTGTACACAGTTATGTACAGTGAGGCAAAATTTAAAAAAAAAACATTCAGAGAACACAGGCTGGAACAATGGAAATCTGTGAAACATTCAATCTTCTAGACCTTGAAGGGATAAAATGCTTCCAGGCAGTTATCAGTGCTTTCAAAAGTAAAAGGGAAAGGGAGCTTGATATAACTTAACCTCCCTTCACCAGCCAAATAGAAATAAATCACCTTCTGCCAGATTTAACTTTAATAAACCAAATCACATATCCAAATGAGGATGAAATACATTTCACACAACATGTCTCATGCACCAATGACGTTCTATTGCAAAGTAAGGCTTGCAAAACAAAATCAGCAACCAACGCACAGAATGGGCAGAAAAAGGAAGCATCGGTGTATAGTGCCAAACCTACCAAAAACACAAAGAATGTGAATATGTTAAGAAAGAGAGTCAGTAACTTGGAACGCAGGTTTGTGGGAAGTGACTATGCCATTTCATCTTTTAGAATGGTGGGTGGAAAGTTCTGTGCTTTGTTTTCTGACCTTCACTACACTTCTGAATGAGCTAATCATCATAAATAAAACTCAATAATTTATGTGGTAGAGAAGCAGACTAATGTACTTAGATAATCTAAATTGTTATACTGACCCATCAAAGACAAAGCTTTTTTAAACCTGTAGCTGCATCAGCCTGGAGCCTGATCTTATAATTAATAATAATAATAATAATAATAATAATTGCTTACACTTATATAGCGCTTTTCTGGACACTCCACTCCACCTGGATGATGCAACGCCAGCCATAGTGCGCCAGAACGCTCACCACACACCAGCTATCAGTGGGGAGGAGAGCAGAGTAATGAAACCAATTCATAGATGGGGATTATTAGGAGGCCATGATTGGTAAGGGCCAATGGGAAATTTGGCCAGGACGCCGGAGTTACACCCCTACTCTTTTCGAGAAACGCCCTGGGATTTTGAATGACCACAGAGAGTCAGGACATCAGTTATTTATTCAAAAATTAAACAAATCTGTATATTTTAATGTGAGAGAACAAATCCGTGGTTAGAATCCACAGAGAGCTTCAATACTAAGCCCAGGGTTAGTGGTTCACAGTGCCATTTGATAAAAAGTAGGCCAAGTAATTACACATTTTCTTCCCTAATCACACTGAGTGAACAGCACTCTAGTGTTGAGGAAGACTTATTGTGAATTGGGGCTCTTCATTGCTAACAGAAGATACATTGACTTATCTTCTGTGATTCTGGCATTTACCGCAGTAGATGTAATATCATTTTAGATCAGGTAAGTGTATAAAGCAATGAAAACTAACAAGTTTAAATGAAAATTTAAAATGATAAAACCTCTTGATTAATTATTGTTGAATTATTATACAAAAATACTGTCATGTCATAGGGTGCCCATTATTTAAGCAACAACACTCAACAAACTGTATTAAAACTGTATTTTAAAGCTTCTACTTTGACACACAAAAGATTGGAAACAACATGACTTTTAACATGAATCTACATCTATGGCATTCAGTAATCTAAAGTAAGGGCAAAAATTATACATAAGGGAAAATCAGTTAAGTTGCTGAAAATAAAAAAATGACACTATATTGCTTATTCACTGTTTTGAATTCAAGTAGGTATTTTACTGCTACAGACATGCTAAATGTGAAAAGTGGGGAACCCTATATTTTCCAAGTGTTTTTAAATTGCAGTTACCTTTTGTTTTTATAATGGAATTTAATACTTTGTGACTGCTAACATTCAGACCACTACATTTTATCTTTTTTTCTGGAAGGTAGTTTTAAGTATATCCAAAATGTATGTAAGATACAATTTATATAATTTGGATCTGCACATAAACCATAACAGATTTACAAATCAAACAATGACACTAACGTTAAACTGTAAAGCAATACAAACTCCTTCATCTGTGGTTGATTTATTATTAGAATTTGATCAATTTGATGACATTGAACATCTGATAAACCCAGTTTAACTATGCATTTCTATTTCACAAAGGAAGTTATTTCACTTATTAAAACAAAACTTTTTAACAGTTGTAAACAGTCCTAGTTCATGGTAATGTGGCTCCAGGCAACTAAAACATACTCTGCTGTAATTTTAATATTTAGAACATTTATTGACATTACTTAACACAGAAAGGAAAATGAAACAACACAAGACAGACACAGTACAATATAATTCAGCTCCAAGTAAAAAGTTTTCTAAATCATCTATTGTTCTGGGACAGTGACTGGATGCAAAAACCTTTTCTGGCAAGGATGCTCCTTCACTCTTATATACACACAACCCACGTAAAACTGCACATACTGTATTCCAAACAATTACTTTATTACACTTTAGTCAATATTGGTGATTCATAAATAATGAATATAAATGAATTCTATTTATACTTTTAAACCAGTTATGAATCTGTTTTGGCGGTCCCTAGTGGTCATTACATCCCTCTGACCAAGGGACTCTGCCACAGACTGTTCTCACTCTATATAATAATAATAATAATAATAATAATAATAATAATAATAATAATAATAATTGCTTATACTTATATAGCACTTTTCTGGACACTCCTCTCAAAGCGATACATTACAGTTTTCATTGCAGCTCTGCCAATCTTAGTGGGCAGTTTATTCCAACCCAAGTGAAAACAAAAATATCAAATTACATAAGAATATGCCAAAAAGCATATTGCATTTGGGCATTTTTCAAATACTGGCCTTAACTGCTCTTTACTTACTATTTCAAAATTGTTTGCAGCGTTCATTAATAACTGCAACCCTAAATCCCTATATTTTGCAAAGCATTTTGTGAGAAAAAAAATCTTTACACTTATAAAGTCCTTTTATAGGACACTCTACTCGCTATAGCGCTATACAGGTAATGTGGACTCCGACCAATGTGCAGCATCCACCTGGAGAGCACATAGTGCACCAGTACGCTCACCACACATCAGTTGAGCACTTGAATGATAAATCCTTCAAGTTCTCACAAGCACAAATGAATCACAAATAAGAAACTTTAAAAGTCATACAAAACATAGGCTACACAAACTATCTCGTAAGATAAATGTGTCAGTTCGAGTCTTTGTCTTTATGCAATACTGAAGAACAAATTGGTTTTGCATGCCTTCACCTTCTAAATATAAAATGTACAAACAAAACAAAGCAGCCAATCAAGTATGGAAGTACTTTTGAGATTTGCTTTAATGACATGAGAAGATATTTGGGATATTGCAGAGGAATTTTATTTTACCTGTCAAATACGTGAGAAACAGCAGTCAAGAGTCTGGAGAGAGCATTCTAATTTAATTGTCATGAGTAGACAGTGAGACTTTTTAAAACCTTTTCTATACAGTTATTCCAGAATACCAATTCAGAAATTGTCTGGCCAAGGATTCAGCTTTTGTCTCGACACATACAAATAAGTAAATAAGTTGACTTTTAAATCAGTGAACACCCAACATTAACCATCTGTGATGGAGCGATGGGGCAGAAATTGTACCAAGAGTTTAATATGGAGTTTGTTCAAAGGAAGGCTTCCTCACCTCACAGGAATTTGCCTTTGTAAAAGCATTACTAGATTAGCATGAAACCCAAACCTAATGGAATGTCAAAATTCCTCACCTGTGGTGCTAAAAATGTTTAGTATTGCACTCTAAAGGCATCCGGTGATGTCTTTAGAAATTGCATATTATAATGACAAAATAGACCTGAGAAAACACAAATGGCTAAAAAATGCAGAATATCAGATGAAAACCTCTCAGTGTTTCACTTTTATTCATGAGTGTTATAACCCTAACGTGTTATTTCTGAAACATACGTCATATGAGGAGATTAGCGCAGCACATGCTCACCCAGAGGCTGCTTGCTAAGCAGCCAGTGATGCCTATGAACAATGCAAAGCTTTAAGAACAGCTTAAGGTATTGTACTCTACCATCAAGCAAGCTGTTGCTTCTTACTCTGCTTACATAAACTAAAATGTATAATAACTGTATAAAGCTCTGTTGTCAAATTCCCACATTGTAAAGCCCTTAGCATATTTATATGTTCTGCATGTTGATGGAAAATGTTGAAAAATACACTGTGGGGATCCAGTGCTTTTATATTGACAGAAATGTTATCACTCTGCGTTCTATGGACCCTCAGAGAAGCATTGCCTCCAAATATTGTGCATTTAGTCTATTGTGACTATGCTACTGATTAAAATAAGTCCAGAAACACGTGGGTATTTTTAATATGGAAAGACCAAACCAATAAAACAATGGTACATTACTTGAATCTTTGATAACCCAGGTTTGTCAATTGTTTGATTTTCCCCAAAGAGTTTATTTTCGGAAACGGAGATAAAATGAAGGCTTGATCACACATCTGCATATGTCACCAGTCGCTATGCTTCACTTCACTGCCATCTGCCGTCAGAACACAGTGAATGCGCCATTCTTTCTGGGGCTAGACTGTCTGACATGTACGGTAGCTGCCAACAAACAGGAATGAGTCTATTCCAAAAGGAAACAGTGCAAAACCTAATAACGCAGCATTCCTGCTGTGCATATTACAGATTGCATCAGAAAATGAACTGATTTTCAAAAAGGCAAAATATAAAATTAGTATTTGTTACCAAATCAACATTAGTGTCTTGTATTCTGGAAATCCACAGGAATAACATGAAATCAGTAAACCATTCACAGCTGTTTAGGGGTGTTTTGGTTCTGTACATTATTTTTATAGGAATATTTAATGTTCTTTTTCTTTGGCATGTCGACTACAACAAACATTCACAATTGCTGGTGCACAAAAACAATGAAACAAGATGAGACTGTCATTTGCAGGCTTTGGTCTAACTATGCAAAATGAGAATTATGGTGATTCTGGGAATCAGCAGAGCATCAGTGGCAAAAATGCTATCTTACCAGCTGTAATTATTTGTACTTTCCAGGGATGTTTTGCCATCAGCCTCTGGTAAGATCTCCACAAGCCAGCCATTATTCCTGTTCTGGGAGAAGACGGACAGACACTGGTCACTAAATAGCACGTTGGCTACATTTGGAATATCAACAGCAATTCTGTTTTGCTCTTTTTGTACTAAAGTTACATTAAAAACCCCTCTGAGAAGGTACATTGTCAAAATTTTAAAAAAGACCAGCGACCAATATTCTTTAATTCATTAAAGCAATACCAGCACAATGCATGAGGACTGCATTGTAAATTCTGTGATACCAAATTTTTTCTTGCATAGCTTTTAAAAGGTATTAAAGCAGCACATGTAGAATGGCTTTTAGTCGGCGTGTTACTACATTAGTTAATTCTTGAAGTGAGAGAATTAAAGCATTATTTGTCAAACTTAGTTCCTCGATCTCCTGGGTTTTGCTCCATCCGTACTCTTACTCACTGAGAATAACTGATCCCTTTAACCGGACTTTCATCTCACATACCTGTAGACCCTTTTAACCTCTTTCTACACTCAGTCTTCCTCACATCCATTTTCTAACCGCTTTATCCAATACAGAGTTGTGGGAGAACCTGAGCCTATTGCTGCAAGCAAAGGGCACAAGACAGAATACAGGAATCCAGTCCATCACAGGGCAGACACACAGATACAAACACAGACACACACTCACACTAGGGCCAATGTTCCCTGAAGCCACCTAACCTATCAGTATGTTTTTGGACTATGGGAGGAAAATGGGGAGAATATACAATATAGCATCCCAGGTCCAGAACTGAACCCAGGACCCCAGCTCAGCGAAGGAGCAATTCTGACCTCTGCTCCACCATGTTGCCCTACGAGCAATTTTGATTTTCAATAACATTCTGCAGCAGGTTTGTTTTATGTGAAAAAAATAGCCAGAATAATTCCTCATCAGTTGACTAACTGAATTGTTGCTGAATACTTTTGGCTAAACAACTTTCAATTGACCATTATGTGATGAAAAGACAAGTAGGAAAGACACTGATAAAACACTCAATTATTTACTTCCGTATAACTGAACGAGGGTAGGTTACGAACTCGGAATTGTGTTCTGTGAGGAAACTAATTACTAAACCCACTCTTAATGGCCGGAAACAAAATTTCACAATTAAAGTGAGATCCGCTAGAGTAACCTAATTAAACTTAGCTCAGATGGAAAAAAATCCATAAGACACAGGGTTCCCCCAGCACTAGAGTAGAGAACCACTTATTAGAGGAAATGAACTCTGTACAACTAAAATAAAAAGAGCGCACAATGCAGCTGCATTTGAGAGGGTAAAAAAAGATTTTGAAAGGCCATGTTTGTCACACAGTATAAATCAGAAAATTGGAAAAAGGGAGATTAACATAGTGGGAGAGGAGGGGGTATCACCACCTTCCTGATGTGATATGACAAGTAACTACAGGCAATAACACGACAACAGATATAGGTAAGTCTGACTCAAATATAGTCCCAACGTAGGAGAGATCGGGGAGGAATTTAGAGAGAAAGTTCCACTACTCTTTTGTTAGACAGTATATTTATGTGGAAAGCTAATGGTAAGCAAGGGTTGTTAGCTGGGGTCTCATCAGCCAGACAATTTGAGACAGGACAGGTTTTTACAAGTTACCTCTAAATTACATTGTTGGTTTATTTAAAGGTTCCACTGATCAGATGGTCAGAGCAACTGATCCCAATGACTGAAGTCTTGCAAAGACTTTGTGGAAATGAAGGCGATATATGAATTGACAGAGCCCAACCTGCTCTGACTGGAGGTGTCTGGTTGATCTAGGGCCAGCTGGCAGCCCCAGTTAGACACCAACTGAACGTGCAGGGAGGTAGAGAGCCATTTGCTTGAAACAAAGCTCTGCCATTAGACTGAGTCCCTTTTTCCCTGTTAGCTTGTCCCAGTAAATGCTAACAGACCATGTGTACTACATTCTGACTCAGTCACAGTTACAGCAGAAACATAATTTGACAGTTTAAGGGCAACATGCATTAGAAATTTCCTTCTTAGACCCTGGGTTGCATTCAGTTACATACTGTAGAATAGTAGTTCCCAACCTTTATCCCATTGAGCACTGGCCTTTTGCCTTTTGTCTCCAGTCAATTTCTCAAACAGACTACCTCATTTAACTTTTCTACTTGGAGCTTGTTTTAAATGGCCATTTAGCACTTTTACCACATAATGAGATATGTGTTTAGTAATAATCCTGTACCAATTTCTACATTTCACGGTTTTCTTTTGGGTGTGTTGTCTGAAATGTAGCCAATTTGACCTCCGTGAAAGGGAATAAAATTGCTTCAAAGTGTTTGATACATTTTTATTTCCTTCTGTCTGTTCAGTATAATTTGACCATTAAGATTCGGAAATAAGGATAAGCAGTTGAAGAAAAGCTGCTTAAAAGTTCTGCATGCTGAAGCTGTTAGAAATAGTACCTTTGAAGAAGGGTATTTCAGACATTCAGGATTGAGTACAAAACAACAAGTGAACTAAAAGTCTAAACAAGCAATCAATGACAGTTACTAATTACTGGAGATTAGAGCTGGGATGGAACAAAAAACAGCAGACATAGTGGTCTCTTAAGGCTGAAGTGGGGAACAACTAATTTAGAATGTCACAGTTAGAAACATGTAACTGCTATTTCATTGACAAGATGCTGAAAGACACTCAGAAACATAAATGCTTTGTGGGACAGAAAATGGGGACTGCAAGTGGCTGGCAAAATCAAGTGACTTGCAAATGAACCTTCAGAATGGAAGACTGTACAGTAGGACCTTCAGATTTGTATTCCAGTTTGGCATGTTATTGATCTAATTGGATAAATATTAAATAACAGATCCTTTAAGCAAGTGGGGGCAGTGAATGGGAAGTTATCACTTGTACCCATTGCTACTGCCTTGCCACCACCCCGGAACTGAAATACACGTTAAGGTTCTTTTCCTACATAAGTAAATTCTGAACATTATGTAAATCCAATAACGTCACTTAAAGAGTCCAGTTTGTTGGATATTACCAACAGCAACGTCCAAAGAATACACATACGACAGATGAACAATTAAATTTTTTAAGACACACAAAACGTAATCATGGAGAACTTTCAAATGTTTTTTGGGGCTGTTTACTTAAAATATATAAGGTATATATACCCAACATTTTATGCTCCAGCTCAGAAAAAAAAAAAACAACCAAAAAGGGTTATCATTACTACCTTAACCCCTGATAAAAACTTCAGACAGGCCACTGCCACTTTTCCTAAATACATTTATTCCTGCATTCCGCTCTTAAAAATAGCGATTATTTGCCTACTGGAGCCAAGAAGTATTTCGTCAATTCAATCTTATCGCATACATTCGTAGTTGTAGGCAGGAAAATACATAGACAATGTCTCGGATATCTGAGAACACGAAAATAAATGCATGTGATCGGAGAGTACTTCTGCACTTAGTTTAATTTATAACATGCGGTCCACCTCCGGCGTTCGAGTAAAACTCGACAAACCATATCCTACCATGTTTGTTTCGGAAAATCTAGTTTTTTAAACATACATGTACTAGAAGGCCATATGCTTTTGCATTTTTCAAAAACTAAAAGTTTAGTTGAACTGTTTCAACTGTTTAACCTTCATTACTACAGTTTTGTCTTCGGCTTCGGTACAAGAGATAAATAACTCTTACATGTTTCCTTTTCCAAACACCTACATTCTTCAGAACACCAATAAGTTAATAGGAATTTTGAATCGAAGCATCATCATCTATGTTTTTAATATATGTACAATGTTTCCTTTCCATTTACTATAACCTTTACCGCTGAACTTCAAAGCTTTAGCATTTAAACGATAGCAGCCCTGCCGTTTCCGCGTCTCGCTTAGCTATAATTTAGCATACTAAATCTTAAACTGTTACTCAATGCAACAAAACATACTTCCAATACAGATTATAAGATGCAAATACCACAATGATGAATTCAAATTTGAAACATGCCTGTTAATGTTATCCAAGAATCTGAAAATGCAACAAAGACGTCACTTCCAGAATAAATTAAACCATTGGCCGACCTTTTGTAATCGACGCTTAGTATCTGTCGCCCTCTAGTGGGGGATAAAGTCAAAATGGTTGCATCACAGAATGCTTCGTATTGTCTGCGTACATTATAGTTGAAACGCGTTGAATTCTTTCTAATGAATCTCCATTTGTTTCCTGAGACCTGCGCTACAACCATGACTAAAGCTTACATCCAATAGTTCATTTCATTGCACCCTCTTATCTAAGGTACCCAAAAAAGCAGTATTTGGGTGTTGGACCTCTGTTCTGTGTGTAAAATTTCATCTGGGACACCAAAAGTGAAGGAAAATATGTGAAATATTGAACTATTTTACTGCTTCCTATATTACACAGTGAATGTTCTGTATTCCGTGATTTCGTTGTCTTGGAGAGGATTATATTCTGAAAATCCTTTTTATTTTATTTTACTTGAAGCATAAAAAGCTTAAAAATGCAAGTGGGTATTTTCTACTTGGACTAAGGCAATGTAACAGTACCGATACTAATTAGCCTGACCAATTACAGAAAATAATTTTGCGAAATACTGTACAGAGATGTGGAAAAATGATTTCTACTGCTGTTGTCAACATGCAAATGACTTTAATTTCACCTGTCAGATGTCCAAATTAATACGTTTTTAAAGAAGTACCTGTTGGCAGTCTTTCAGTGTCATCAGTTCAGATGCTAATTATTCCATCAGACTATTTTCTCTCTCCTTCTTCAGGGTCAAAGGGGAGCTGAAGCCTAACCCGGCAAGCAAGGAGAAAAGGCAGGGAACACTCTGGACTCTGTGGCAAGGCAGATACAGACACAAACACACACATCAGGTCCAATTTTGCCAGAACCAACTAACCAACCAGAACGTCTTGGCTCTAGAAGGAAACCAGAAAACCTGGCAAGAACCCACATAAACTCCACACAGATTAGCTTCCCATGTCCTGAATTGAACCCAGGTACACAACACTGTGAAGCAGAAATACTGTACCAACGAGCGTGCCGCCATGCTAATTATTCACGCTTTTTAGTTCAAGAATTTAGTGTGGAGGAATCTTGATTAAATGAGCAACATGGTTCCCACCCATACATTTCTTTTCTGCTTCTTCCAATTCCAGGTCACAGGAGAAGGACTGGATTTTAATCCGAACGTTGCCAACTGCTGTATATCTTTTTTGAAACTAAACTGTAACTAGAAACATCGATGGCCTCATACCTATAAAAAGTATATGCTTACGCTTAACATATTTTGTTTCCTGATGTTAAAAACATCTTTGTTATTCTGATAGTCATATGCAGACTGCTGACTGTCAACAAATTATAAGGGAGAGAAGGAAAAAGGGAGGCAGAAAGCACTCCAACAGCCTTTTTAATCGAAGGATGAGGGCATACATTGAAGTCGCCATTGAATTCCGGTTTTCGCTAGACTTGTTTGTATCTGACTATAAAGGAAAACTACAGTAGCTACAGGAACTGGGGGCGAGAAAAATGTTTACTCTCAGTGCTGCTGTATGGTGCCTGAGTTTCAGCTGAAATAAAGGTCTGATGCTTCATCTCTGCAGCCTGGACTCTTATTCTATTAAAAGTACACCCTCTTATGTTTCTATAATTTTGCATGTTAAGATATATTTGACCTTTACCTACACCTCACCAAGTCCTAACAGTAGAGAAATCTAACCTCATGTAATAGATAACACACACAAACTTTACTTTGCTATTATTTAAAAAATTATGCAACATTCAGAAGCCTTGTGTGAAAAAGTAAGTGCACCCCAACTGCTTCCATATCAGTTAGGAAGGTAATTAGAATCAGGTGCTGCTAAACAAGTGCACAAGTGTAAATTAGTTGATCATAAGGAAGTGCTTCCACCTGTATATAAAATCAGAAACTTTGTCAGTTTGGTCTGGAGCATTCAGATTTACGGTAACACATCATACCTAGGTTGAAATACATAAATTCTCCAAAAAGAACATTGTTGTATGGCTTAGGTTTGCAAAACAGCACCTGAATGAACCACACGACTTTTGGAACAATGTCCTCTGGACAGATGAGACCAAAATGGAGTTGTTTGGCCGTAATGCAAAATGACATGTTTAGCAAAAACCAAATACTGTGTATCGCCACAAGAACCTAATACCAGTCATCAAGCATTGTGGTGGAGGGGTATTGGTTTGGATATGCTTTGCAGCTGCAGGACCTGGAAGCTTCACAATCATTGAGTCCAGCATGAACTCCTCTCCATATCAGCACATTCTATAAGAGACCATCTGTTCAACAGCTAAAGCTTAACTGATAGCGGATCATGCAACAGGGGTAATGATCCAAAATACACCAGTGAATCTATAGCTGAAAAAGAATAGGATTTTGGAATGGCCAAGTCAAAGTCCAGCCCTCAAACCAACAGAGATGCTGTGGTGGGACTTGAAGAGAGCTGTGCATAAACAAATGTCCTTAAACATCACCGAGCTGAAGCAGTTTTGTAAGTTGCAGTTGGCCAGAATTCCTCCCAGGCAGTGTGAGAGTCTGATATACTCTTACAGGAAATGTTAACTTCAAGTTTTCACTGCTAAAGGTTTTTTTTTTGTTAGATAAATAAAGACAAAGTAAAATCTGTGTTCACTCTTTGTCACATGAGGTTAGATTTATCCACTGTTAGGCCTTGGTGAAGACTAGGTGAAGGTATGAGCCGTCAGATATGTCTTAATATGTAAAACCCAATAGTCGTAATTTTAACTGTCAGCAGTCTACATTTTTTATACCAGAATTACAAAGACATGTTTTGAAGAATAGGGAAAAAATAAAACGTCAAGTGTAAGCAACATTTATAGGTATGTATGTAGTCATCAAGGCTTCCAGTTCCAGTTAGGTTACAAAAAAGATATAGGCCTATTAGCAATGTTAAGATTACAAGTACTGTATGTTATACAAAAGATAAAATCCAATTCTTCCAAGGGGGTGCCAGAGCCAATCTAAACAAGGCAGAGTACACTCTGAATGGGACATCAGAACATCGCAAGACAGACACAAATGCAATGTAGTTTCCTTGATTAAAAAAACACTTTTAGTTACATTGTTTAATTTCATTATTAATGAGCACAGAAAATGATGTATAAAGCTGCAGACATACCACCTGTTGTATCCAATTTAGAACTCCCCAAAAATCTTAAACCCCTTCTTCCGTCCATCCAGTTTCTGCTTTATCTAATAAATGGTAGTGGGGAAGCCTGAGCCTATACCAGCAAGCAACAGGCACAAGGCGGGATCACCAGTCTATCACAGGGCGCACACAGACTCAAATGTGCACATACTTACAACCAGTGCCAATTTTCCCAGAAGCCAATTAACGTGCTGTACCAGTATGTCTTTGGACTGTGGGATAAAAGCTGAGCACAGGAAACCCACACAAATATACAAAATCAATGCAAATAGCACCCCAGGAATTGAACTCGGTGTCCCTGTGCTATGAGGCAGCAATGTTAACCAGTGTGTGACCGTGCCACCTGGTTCCCCCGTAAATTTAATATTATACCAGCCTTTCAAGTCCAGTATGTTAACACATGTTACTGTAACACACTGCTGATCTAAACAGCTTCACCAGATCCATCCATTTCTGGCTCTTCAAAACTCTGCAGTAGTCAAGGGTGAAAAGGGGTTATTTTTTTTCCATTACTCATTTCTTTCAACTCATTTCCCTTAATTACCAAATTCAAAAACACATGAAGGCAGTAAGTGCATTTTAAATAATGCATAAGGTGTGGACAAGATAAAAAATAAGGACTCAATTATTTCCCACATTTTATTTTCTTTGAAATAGTTAAGAATTTGCTAATGCTGTGGAAAACTAACTTCACATGACAAAACCGTTCCTAACCAAAGTCAGTAGCGTTTGTAGGAGACTGGGTGAAACATGTTCATTATTTTATCACACCAAGATTAAACTCCTTAAATGACGAGAGCTAATAAGGGCATGTTTCCCCTTGCAGTTCCGTGAAAAAATGCCATTTTTTTCACACAACATTTCGTCTGTGGAGCCTTCTTCAGGTGTCACCTCACCTGAAGAAGGCTCCACGGTCTAAATGTTGTGTTTTCTTTCTTCTCCTTTCAGCATGGAATAAACCTATTACTTGATCCTTTGCAGCCTACGCATGCTCACACAGCTACCCTCCTGTATTTTACATGACTCACTAGAACACTTTTATAACTTACTAGGGTGAAGGATACCAAAAAACATATAAACATTTATGTTAGATAAACATAAAAAGTAGTACTGATACAGATAAGAACAATATTATATAGTAAAAAATACTTAAAATATAGAATGTTAGTTCTATTTCTTCATTTTTAAAATGTACACTAAAATACACATCTGAATATGTTTGGTATCACACTTTAGTAAGTTCTGAATAAAACATTAATAACCCCTATTTGCAGCCCAAAATATGTCTAATATGCTTGCAGATGTAGGACCATAAGATTTAAAGAGAACACCGATAACATTGGTAATATTTATTTTAACATAAAACAAGATAAAAATTAAAACTACAGATAAATAAAGGCTTCAAACATGAGGAAAGAGATGTATGTTTTAACAAAATGTCATGGAATGACTCATGAAGACAAAGATAACATTTCAATGTTCAAGGATTTTTCTCTGTCCCATTTTCTTTTGGTCAAACACAACTCACAACAGCACACACAATGAGGACTTGATCATGCAGTTCATACAGAATCCCTTTAAAGACTGTTTCACAAGACATAACTCTCAATCTTGGAAATTACATAAAGAATAAAATGTCCAGATAAAAGAGCTCAGTGTAGATGAATTCAATTTAGGAAACAGAAATATATTAGATCTAGACTGATTTCCATAGTGATAAACACAAAGAGGCTATATGTAACCATCAGCACAATGCAACCATCACTGCCCCCATAATGGTTTGCATTCATGGGAGAACATGGTACACGGCTGTCTGAATCTGCCCAGTGTGGAACAGAGTGAGAACAGAATGTCTTTCCCACTGTCCTCATGGTAAGCACATTTCACACCGATGTGTATAGTTTTCAAGATAGAGTTGTTGAAATAAGCACAATCACACCCTGTTCTTCTGCAAACATGTTGAAAGCCTCAATGTCAACACCAACTCACCTGTCTTTGGCCAAAGAAAATGACACCTATGACACCTACCCTTCGCTAGAAGAACTATTTCTAAAACAAATACTGAAAGATGTGGCTATATTTTAAAAAAATACAGTCCACACTTGGTAGAAGCAATAGGAAAAGTTATTTTAGTTAACAGAAATACAGTTGGATAATAATGAAGTACTGTTCAGGAAAACGTTCTATGAAAAACTGACACATATGGAGGTCTCACATCCTCAGACACAAAAGTCTAGTTCACGTGCCAATAAATGAATCAAAAACAGTGTACAGTAGCTCAGAATCACAGTCTTATTTGGGCCCTTTGGTCAAGAGATCCAAGCTACAGGTTAAGTAATCACACAAATTCCATTTCTGGTCAATATAAAGCTTGGTCTTTTTTAAATTCACAATCCAAAATTCCACACAACCTAAGATGTGTCTATGTGTCAAATGGTAAAACAGAATACAGTTAAATAGTGTTATTTGATCATTTTGAAGATGGGGACAGGTTACTACCTAATGTCCACTACTACACTTCAACTACACTAGTCTTTTTAAAAAATGTTTGAAAACAGCTATTTATTGGCGTTTCCTCAGTTGAGCAATCGTTTTTCTTGTCTTTCAAGTGTTCATGTTTTCTATGATGATCATACAAATCAGATGCAGTAATAGCTAGAGAAAAACAATAAACAGAACCAAGAACAGTACTGCTTAAATTCTGTGCAGTTAAGCATTGGTGTTTCAAACCTTTCAATGAGTGTGAGGCTTACAGCTTTGTTAATGCTAAGGAAGTTGTACAGAGAAACATACTGTATGTGCCACCAAAACCATAACTGCTCAAAGCCTGTAGTATATTACTTATACTTATAGATAGTGAGGTTCTTTGAACATTTTTTCTTAAACACATTCTAAGAACAGCTAATGTCTTTTAAAGACAATATTAACTACAAACATACAACCTAAAGACATTAAATAAAATAATGAACAAAGCAATAATTTACAAAAGACAAAAAAAAGGTCAATTCAAGTATTTACCCCAGAAACAACAGACAGTGCCTACAAAATAATTTGTGACAACACATTTACAAGTCTTCAGTTCGACAATAATATAAGAACAGATCAGTTTAAACCTCAAGTTTCATTTTACAAGCTAGGAAACATTTATTCCTCCCCAAATGGCAGGCCTTTCAAGAACTGAGCTTCAGTTAATTTTACACATCAGTGACTAAAAATGATCAACCCTGCCTTCTGACTCCCAAGGAAGTTCTGTGGTTGGAACTACAAATAATCAGAATATAGTGCACAGGCGGATAAAAAAACAATTACTGTGGTCCCAGAGTGCAGGCCATTCTTTCAAAGGTCTAGATTTATGGATTTATCTCTATACATATACTGTGCAATCTTACATGTTTTATTCCTCCTCTTGTGCAACTCTAATCTTCAATGTACTGTAAATATGTGTCTGTGCACAGCAGTACTTTGCTGCAGGAGACACCTTATTTCAGAAAATGCAAAAATCCTGTTATTTGTAGTCTCTGTGGACCATCTGCCATCCTTACAGTGCAAATCACAGATTCTTATCTTAATGAAAATGAACACACACAGAATTGGTGTTTATTGAAAAAAGCATTTTCTGTTTTCTACAGTACTTTTAATTTTCCCCCACCATTTTGGTTGACTGTCATGGTAAATATGGAGAGGAGCTCCAAAATGGCAGCCACACTTGTGGCGGAACTAAGCACAGAATCCAGGCTTTTAATTTGTGTGGCTATTATTGAAGTAAGCTTTGAGATATGGAAGTAATTGAAGATTTTTCACTGATGGAAAAAATCCACTTTAAAAGGTATGGGATCAGCCAATCATAACATACCTGGTTCCCTTTAGTCATTAATGAAAGCATAAACCTGCAACTGATTTGGGAGAGTCTGGAAGGTACAGTACTGTGGCTAAGGAAACTTCAAGTTCTGTCCTTTGGATACTATAGAAAAAAATTCAGTTGTGACCTTAAAATAAATGTTTTACATCCCCATTCTAGTAAACATGGTAAAAACGATATGGCGTAAAATAAGGTAAAGCCAAGAGCTGGTTTACAATTTTCCACCTCTTGAACATCAGTCACTTTTTAAGAATGTGCTGCTCATGCAGTATTCCTGGCTATGTTCAAATTTTTCAATAGTCCATTCCCTCGTCACTCTCGTACCAGTCCGAAGGAGCATCTGTGCCAAAGTACCGATCTCCAAAATTACCTGCAAAAGACAAACAACCAGACAGGAAATTAACACCGCTGTATCAAAAACAGTACTGAAAAAATGCCCTAGGGCTATCAGAGATAGACTATCCTGGACAAAGCAACCCCCAAATTGTTGCAATTTTAAATGCGATGAATACCACGTTAACTCACACTTTTAGCTCAAGCAGAGCTAGTGGTATTACAATGATATCAGGACACAACACCCACTAAAGAAACATCAGAGACAACCTACAATAAAGAAGCAAAACTATACCTCTGATGATAGAAAACATCCCACTTTCAATAAGAGCATGGTAGATGAATTGATACCGTAGATCTGGACCCCAAAAGGGGATGGTGGACTTAAGTTATGAATGATCGCAGCCTGGACAAATACTGGTGCTCACCTATCCCGGGAATTATGTGGAATTCGTCATTGACCTTTTTGTCCACAGCTGTGGTGATAATGCGCACTTTGGGGAAAGCATATGCCACAGAATGAACCCCCATCTCTGCCATCAGGAGAGACAGCAGGAAGATCTTGTCCTCCTGCACGTCGTGATCCTACATGGACATTAGAAGAAATGCCCCGGATTACTTTACTGGGTAAGCCATGGAAACAGGTTTACTACAAAGAACTTCTCTGGAGGTGTCATGGCTAATCAGCGCTCGCCGTGTCAGATCTTATGTTTTCTACAGCTACGGTTATATGAAGTGAAAGCAAAACACAGGTTCCCAGGCTGTATTAAAAGATATCTTTTGACTCATTGAGGTGAAACACATCATTGGCATGCTATGACATGTTCTTTGAATCCTGTTAGTTTTAATTCAAATTGTTATCTTTAAATATAAATATACAATTAATCATTTTCGTAGGTTTTTCTTCACAAAGAAAAAAACTATGCTGCCATATGTGACCAGAAAGAACCAGAAAGCTCTGTGTTAAGAACTTGTGAGTTACAGTAATTTAAAATGGTATGCAGGTTCACTTGGGCTAACATCAAATCCCGAGTGTCTATTCTGTTCCAACAAGCTGGGCACAAACCTTAATGCTGTGTGATTTGGTGAGAAAGTAACATGGTACAGATTTGGCTGGGAAAAGTGAGGGTGCTACATGTATTTATCTGTAGTTGGCTTGAGTTTGTAGAAATCTGCATGGTGGACTTAACACAACCTCAGTCTATAAAGACACTTTAAAGAAGTGCCATTCAGGGCTTCCTCTGGATTATTATTAACTAGACATTTACTGTAGCAAATAGTGAATTTACTTCATTTCCCCATTGTGTGCTCTGCACATTCATACCAGCTGGTGCTCAGAAAGCAGAGACTAAGTACAAGTACTAAAGAAGTTTACTTACCAGCAATACTCTCACTGCCATCAGAGCAGCTGCTCCAGTTGACACAGTGCTATCCATTAAAATCACATAATCTTCACTTATATCTTTAGGCAACCTAAGGTAGTGTAGCTGCAAAATAAAGCATATGTAAAAAAATGTCACTACCAGGTTGTAGAATAATATTTTCTATTGCAGTTAGGCTCGACCTAATTTACTTTTATAAAAAAAACTGAACTACATTTATAAAATCTTATAGAAGTCAAATGTAACAAATATACAATATGTGCCAGTGGTGTCTGGTGACATTTGAGGCAAAAAAGACAAAAAGACGAGAACAATTAGATGACTGAGTATATTGGAAATGAAAAGGAAGAATGAAAGCTGAATGCAAATGTGACGTTGGACCACCTTTTTGGCAAAGTAACCTTTTTTAGCACACATTACCAGTTGGAATGTTTAAGATGAGGCTACCAAGACGCATATGAGCGAATAAAAAAATGAAGGTTATATAATTCAGCGCACTGAGTGACGGTGCTATAAGACAGAATGAGCATGGTGCTAATACAGAGAATCCTACTGAGCAATGGTTTCATGGGGCAGCTCACTCAGTTATAGTTTGCAATAGGTGATAGCTCACTAGGTGTTTGTGTTATTGTCAACAAATCCTATTTTGTCTAGCTGATATCTGACAACCTTTTTATTTCTGTGGTGTGTGATTGCTTTTGTCTTCTTTCTCACCACACATAGGAATAGCAATAGCTATATAATAGCAATTCGATAGCTAATACTAATTAAAACAGCAATAAAACTACAAATGAAAATGACACTACAGATGACAATTTAAATGATATATCTGAAATTATCATCCATGAAAAAAAAAGTTTAGCAGAATTATACTTACAGTATAAAAATTAAGAATTCTGATTAACATGTCGTACATAATACTTTCCTGTTCTCTGTTTAAAAAGCACAAGATTAAATTCTATTTAACCTTATATTTACTTTGCTATTGTTAAACATTAAAGACAGTTTAAAAGACACTGTACAGTGTCAGATAGGTTTCCACTCACACACAGCACAGTCTTTTAAAAACAAATGGGAATGTGACTTTGCTAAGTGTTTTTGTTTCCCTCTCAAGAAAAATAATAGTCCTGCATGTCTGCAGGGCCTGAGAGGTATACTGCACTTTATAAAATATAATACACTGCTGGGAAACAGTAAAGAGGGAAAGGAAGATGAGATCACAAGACCTCCCTAACTTTCCCCCTCTTCAGATGGGGATAAGCCACTGTACCAAAAGATTCATATAGTATAAGAAATTACAGATACAATGATGACCCCTTCGCACACATGCACTGTATACTGTGCATGCACCTAGCTTCGTCTCTACCACGGCAAGTGATCGGACCTTGCAAGATTAATGAATGCCCTAAAGCAGTGGTTCTCAAACTGTGGTACGCGTACCGGCAGTGGTACGTGGAGTGCCGCCAAGTGGTACGCCAAATGACCCTGGAACTGTGTCGTGTGCGCTGAAAAAATCGGGATTTCATATTTTGTATTTTAATACGTGTCGAATAAGCAGCCTACGTACTACGATACAGTGCTCGCTAATACTTCAATGGACACAAGAGATACTCTGTAATTCTATACCACTCTATAGGAATGCGTACTACATGCAAGTGACCAATTGTATTTAAAAAAAGCTACTGTATCTCCAGCAAAGGAGAAAGGAGAATGTGCGTGACTTTGGAACAATGCTAAAGTTGTAAACACAGGAATGCATAGAAATACGTGCTACGAAAGCAGGTAATCTTGTGAGCACACGAAAGCGTGATAACAGAAAAATATTTAAGAACTGTTCTAATTTGAGAAAAATACACCAAGTGTCTCTGTGTTTCGCTCCCATGCGCATGAAATAAAAACTTTAAATAAATATGGAAATAAAAACGGAAACACGGAAAAATGCAAGCTTGTGGATTGCTAAAGCAGGTAAGCTATACTATTTTTGAAGAACCTTATTTACCGTTGGCAAAAGAGCTGCCACGTATTATGTGTAGAGAAAAAGCTGCTAAACAGGTCGACCTGCTGCCCCCCTGAAAGACAGTCATTCGTAGAATTATTGAAACGAAGGATTATATCAAAAGTACGCTGACAGAGCGCGTTAAGATGAGCAGATGTTTTTCACTGCAATTAGATGAGTCTGTAGTCGATTTGGCCATTTTGCTCGTTTACGTTAGATACGAGTTTGAGGGCATGTCCCATTAAGACTTTCTGTTCTGTAAACCGCTACCAACAGGAACTACAGGAGAGCACATATTTCAGCTTCTAAATGAATTTATCGAAGAGAATGGCCTCGACTGGATAAAATGTGTGGGAGTTTGTACAGACAGTGCTAGAGCAATGATAAGCCGACATAACGGTGTAGTTGCACGAATTAGAGAGGTTGCTCCAGAAATTAATGTACGCATTACAACATCCACCGCGAGACCTTTGCCGTCAAGAAAATGCCTGTCGATTTAATATCTGTTAGACTCTGTTGTGAATTGTATCAAGGCTCGAAAAATTAATTCACATCTGCTTTGCTCAACTAAACAGGCTCACCCCTCTCACTGAAATGGTGCTTTTTTATTAGTTGTTGTTAATGTTTTTTTTCTGTAAAACACTTTGAGAAGCCACCTTTAAAGGCGCTATATCAAATAAAGTTTATTATTATAATATTTATTATATGTATGTGTGAGTGTGTGCAAGCGGGCTCATGTTGGTCATTGAGAATTTCTGGGGTTCCTATGAGAAGATGACTTGTAGGTGGTACTTGGATGCTTTGGTTGGATTATGGGCGGTACTTGGTCCAAAAAGTTTGAGAACCACTGCCCTAAAGGAACAAGATTGTGATCTTTTAAAAAAAAAGTAGCCTGCTATCATATTTTTGGTAAATCACTCTGACTGCCAAAGGATAAGGCAAAAAGGAGGATTAATAGTGGGGAGGTCTTTAAGGTCTTCTGCCAGATAACACTGGCTGGGTTTGAAAAAAATAATTTGTATAGCACATTACAGGATGTTATATTCTGTACCATCTTAATACTTTTGTTTTGGAATATATATATTTGTACTTAATTTATACCACTGAAGACACTCTCTCTCCACTGCAAGGAACCACACTTTTAGGGAATAAAAGCAGCAACAAGCAGCTTTTAGTAGCATCAGGGGGCTGAACCATGATGAAGCATTTCCACCTCAACATGTTTCATTTGAAAAAAAAAGAGAAATGTTATCAAATAACTGCCTTAAGTGACTCCTAATTGGGCAATCAGGAAGAATTTGTGTGATCCCTTAAAAATCATTTTAATTATCTAAAATAAGAACACAGAAAAAGGGTGTTATGCAAATTTTGCAGTTTCAATTTTCAGTTTCCTCTTCTTTGTTGCAAATGTAGAATTTCTTTTTCTCTGCTTATATCTGCCATACCTCTGTGTACACTCTTTTATAATCTCCGATATAGAATTTCACTGCTCCCAAAGTGACACCCCCCGCAAAGTATCCTCTGTGATCACAAGCACAGACACGTGTAAAAATAAATGTCATGTAAAGAGACCCTGTAGTTCATACATCTCTGCAAAGAATGAGTACGGAATGGTTAACAAGAGGTCAAGTCTTCTATACCTCTGGTTCCCCAGTATCATGGTTGGTTTGGATCAGGATCTTTCCCAGGCGGATATCTTTACACACGGCCATGAGTGCTTGTTCCATCGTCTCTCCAGCACGTAGGATGGAGACGCCCGTTATCTAGAGAAGCGACTGGCAGGAATCAAGATACACAGCCTGGCTAGGAAGGTACAGGATTGAGTAAAGAGGTACACTGTTGATCTGAACTACACTACATTGTGATGCAAAACACTAGACACAGTTGAAAACAAATAACTGGGAATGAGAATAACCATTGTTCTGTCCATAAAGAGAAATAAATGAGATAAAACCCTGCAACCTTTTCCTAGGCAGGAACTCGGCAGCTACTGTATAACAGTCTTGTTGGTCAAAGACCAGATGGTTATTCCATACATTTTTATGATTAAGTATAAACAGGTTTTATATCCACCTGAGGCCAAAAATTGAAATGACTGCATCCCATAAAAAAACAAAATCCCTCAAGACACACACAGATTTTTCAGATGAAGTGTGAAAGTTTACAGGTCTGAAACACTGTGGCACTTTATCACTCTTCTGCAACAAAAAGGCCCTTTAAATCCATATTCCTTATGTGGATAGAGATTTACTTCTTATAGTGTTCACGTTTGAAAAAGGCTCTACAGCCAAAACATTGTGTTTATTATTTTTACTTTCAGTGTGGAATTAATCTTTACTTGATCCTTTGTAACCATATACTAGTGAAGTAATGCACTACGGAAACATACTTTTTTAACAGAAGTTCATGTGTAGCCTTCAATGACATTTTATACTGTTTTCTTCACAGACCTGCCGTGAAATATCTTTCAATTATTTCAAGGGCACTCAGTTTAGAAATGCTGACATGATGGCTCCAAAGTAGGCTCACCCTTTGGCCACTGAGTCTTTTTCCTTCATAGATGGTGCCTTGCGGAGTCTCCACGGAAACTGGCTGGAGGGAAAGGAGCAGTGACAATGTCAACCCACAAGAGAACGAGCTTTTGCTTGTAATAGGAAAATGATGTGCAAAGCATAAAATGATTAATGTTTAACTGTTAGCTGTAAAAAGCAACCCAACACATATCATTACAAATTCTACAGAAAAGATTGAATTGGCTTGTTTCGCAATTAAACCCAGATACACCCTTGATCATAACAGGATTAAACATCCTTCACAGTCAATAGGTTTTTCTTTTTAATTATGTTTTTTTTGTAGACTGTGAGCAGGAGAACTCAGTTCACAAGTAGCCTGAAAGACAGACTTCAGATCCTACTATAGTTGATTAAAGAGCAACACCATAGAATGTTTTCCAAGTATAACAACTGAAAACTTAAGTCCACAATGGCTTTCAGGAGAAAAAAGTAAAAGGCTGAAGATTGTGACTGAGTAAATATATTTATTTAATTGACAGTAGTTATTTCCAAATGTACAATACAAAACCTTTTCTTGATTTGTATTCCCTGGCATTAACAGATGTTAAAGAAATGTATCCACTTCATTGGATCAATAACCCAGCGGCAAAATTTGATAAAAATGCTTTTAATGGCAATTAGTTTGTTTTGCTCATGTGGTGCTTTTGAGTGCAATGAAGTAGCCTTCTGGCCTTGGTACATGAGTGAGATACAGCATGATGAATCTGGGCAACATTTAAAATCGAAGTGTTCCTTTCTGGAGTTAGAACAAAGCACTCACCTTGAGAGGCAAAAAGGAGAGAGCATGCTCAATAAGAAGCCTCATTAATCTCTTGGAGTAGAAAATAAATTCATCTCGATTTGTGTCCTTATTCCTGTGGAGAAATCAAGTGATGTATTACTAATGGCCAAAGTGCTGTTTGTGTGTCAATTAAGAAAAAAATCACAGCACTTGTTCAGAAGACCCAGAGTCAGGGTGTCGGGATGTACAATGTATTACTTTCACTGCACACTGACTTGAGTGTGTTAGTGGTTTTCAAGAGCTCTTATTAACTGTAAAACACAAAGCACAACTACATTAGCAATAGTAAAAATGGTTTTGCTTATGCTCTAGGCCTGGGTATTTGCAAATCTGTAAAAACAAAAAACAAACAAATTGGGGTCTATCTTATTAACTGTGTCACTATAATCAGCACCAAATTAAATTTTATAATAATAATAATAATAATAATTGCTTACATTTATATAGCGCTTTTCTGGACACTCCACATTGCGCTTTACAGGTAATGGGGACTCCCCTCCACCACCACCAATGTGCAGCCCCACCTGGATGATGCGACGGCAGCCATAGTGCGCCAGAACGCTCACCACACATCAGCGATCAGAGGGGAGGAGAGCAGAGTAATTAAGCCAACTTATAGAGGGGGATTGTTAGGAGGCCATGATTGATAAAGGCCGATGGGAATTTTGGCCAGGACGCCGGGGTACACCCCTACTCTTTTCGAGAAACGCCCTGGGATTTTTAATGACCACAGAGAGTCAGGACCTCGGTTTTACGTCTCATCCGAAGGACGGCACCTGTTTACAGTATAGTGTCCCCGTCACTACACTGGGGCATTAGGACCCACATGAGCCGCAGGGTTAGCGCCCCCTGCTGGCCCCACTAACAACTCTTCCAGCAGCAACCTTAAGTTTTTCCCAGGGGGTCTCCCATCCAGGTACTGACCAGGCTCACACCTGCTTAGCTTCAGTGGGTTGCCACTTGTGAGTTGCAGGGTGATATGGGTGCTATATATAGCAATAACAGTTGCTATATATAGCAGCCAATAATAGTGACAATAACAGTTTTGTTTATGACTACTGTATGGAGAATAACACACCTGTAATGCACAATCCAAGCAAAATGAACGTAGGAGAGGAAAAAAGCACAGCAAATATATTTAGAGAAACCCACTTCACGTGAAACGTAATTGTACCATTCAGCGTCATGGTGAGTGAAACAACTTTAACTTCCCCACATCTTACTTCCTGAAGGAGAGGGTGTATGGCGCTATGACTGGGGCAGACAAGGTCACCCAAAGGTAATTAATGTTATTTATTGCGTTGTGAAAGAATGCCTTGAATGTGTAATGAATAAAGAAAACAATGAACTCTGAATGACTGTCCAATAAAAGTGAAATGTATCTGCCTCCCAAGAGACATAAAAAGTTAATGAAAGAACACAGGAAAACAAAGAAAATGACATGAAGCAACACTCTTTTTGAAAGAAGTCACCTTGCTCTGTGAGAAGCTTGTCAGTTTCTGGTCGGCTTCTCCTGACTCACCTGATGATGGTGTGCATGCCCCTGACCTGTGGGGTGCTCTCCATGACGCTCAGCGTCTTCGGCAGGGGCTGGCCTTGATGGGCAGACGCCAGAGCCGCTCTGTGTGTCAAGAGATGAGACATATTTACAAATCCAGCCCTGGCAGGGCAGCAGAAAACCAAAATACTGCCGAAGCAAGCTAACTGCAAACACTTTAAGTAAAAAAAAGAAAAAAATCAAACTTTTTTTCTTTTTTTTTCCCTCTAAATTCACAATAATCAAACAAGCAAGCAAAGGGGGCATTTATGCTTAGAAGCTGGCAACAACAATTGAAGACTGGAAGCTGTTAACTAGAAGTTAAATTGATTACTTCCAAATCCAGACAGACTAGTCTGGGTAAAGCTGTGAGCATTTCATTCTTGTGTGTGGCTGCCAGACACAAGCAGCGCCAGAAAACCTTTAAGCATGACATACATACATTGATTAAATAGTTTAAAACTGTGAATAATTTGCTCATATATTATTCACTAAAGCCAATTTTAATTTCCCAAAATGTTAACTGGAAGAAAATACAGATGCAGAGATCTAAGCCGGGTGAAACCAGATTAACACTGGGGTACCAGGGCAATGATTGAGCCGCTCAATTTCCTTCCTTCCCTTTAAGGTTCTAAGCATAAAGCTGACAAAGACGCGCGAAGCGACACTACAAAAACCAACCCTGTCAAGTACATTTTCAACAAAATATGGCTACAAAACCTTCATTAAGCACTATATTAATTCATTTTTTCTTTGTACAGGATATCAAGAGTACGTTTTAGAAAATCAAATTTAATCTCATGAAATTTGATAGTTCAAATAGACAAACCAAAAGTAGAGGGCATGTATTCAAATTAGGTTGTAGGCGCAGAAGAAATGTGTGTTTAAATGGGGGGAAAAAACTTGCTGTCCATCAAGTCGGCTTCATTTTTGTTGCCTGCAAGGAAGTATCTTAGGTTTTGATTTTTTTTTTTGTTCTTTAAAAATTTCTGGAGAGGAAAGCCAGAGTTGAGGGAAATCAGAAAAGAAATGCACTTAAGTTAAGCAATTAACAAAACAATGGAAAACAATTGAAAGATACATCCTAGAACAGCAACAAGAAAAAAAAAGTTTAAAAAAAACTAAAAAGAAGAAACACTAGTTTATTATCCTCACATATCCCAGCGGAGTTTCCTCTGTAGAAGGTGACAATTATTCATTGCGGGACAAGTGATGACAAAGACAGAAAAAAAAGACAAAGAAAAGACATCCGAATTAGACGCTAGCACAGAGAAGGGCACACAATCAGTTAAAAAAAGCTGAGAAAGAAGGAGCCAGGCAGGTGTTCATATCCTCTTTGGCTTTGAACACCTTACCCTCAAAGCAGGCTGAGTGAAGATGGCAGCAACTGGCCTTCGTTTTGACCTTCGTCTTTGAGAAAAAAATTATTTGGATGGTACTGAGCTCTAAGAAATCCACATCAGTGTCAATAATGCAGTATGGGCGCTTTCTTTAAAATGAAAGCATATCATATTCAAAATGAGCCAGTCTCTTAATTGTCTTAATTCAAGAATGCCAGCTGTTGCATAAAGATCAATACAAACAAAAACCTGGTCTCTTCAATAATGAAATAAAATGTGCACTTCATAAGTGAATCAAATTGAAGCCTTCTCTTAACATTCCTCTATCTGCAGCACATTTGCAGATACGCTTGACAGGATGAAGAATGCAGAGCCTCATTTAATGCATTTGAAGCAATATAAATTGCTAGCCACATGATCACGAACTAAATCTGATTAATACGGTGTGTCTTGATAGAACTGTTGGGGTTGACAAAAAATGAGAAAGAACATGCTTCTCTGGCTGATTGAAAGCCTCTCTTATCCTTGCAAAGTCCCCCAAAGTTCCCTGCATTCATTTATAATAATGCATTATTGACATTTCCTTTTTTGTTCATGTTAATGGCTTAAAGCAGAAATCGTAAGAAAAACAGACTAAGAGACATTAGAGCTTGGTGCGTACCATCGAAATAAGATTAACCTGTGCTAGCAATAACCGCAAGTATCAACTTTGTTGAAAGAGAGACCCAAAAGAAAACATACAGTAGCCTTTCATGCCATTTTCTTGTTTTTTTTTCTAAAATGAACTAGTTCATTAAGATTATTATACAAGGGGGCACCAGTTAATGGGCATCTTCCCAACACCTGCCAGAAACAAGGATAAAAGGAACACTCTCTCTTTATTCTTAACTTACGTCCCCATAAATGAAACGTTTAGACTAGCACATGAATGAAGAGAAATTACCTGGAATTATGCAATAAAGTAGTTGCAATAAGTACTATTGTCAATGGGTAAAGTTTAATCTGAATAAGGATAATTTAGTGATCTGCTTTTTTTGCTTTGGGATACTTGTACATTTGCTTTAAATGTATGATACTCACACATACAACCTTGTTGCCAAAATGGTGATTGTACATTCAGTATGACCTTGCATGTAAAGGGGCAATTACTTGGTTATTATGACAATGAAAAACAAGAATATCCAAAAAGGTAACATGAAGGTAAACAAAAAGCGTGTTTGTGTTTTTCTAATTCACCTCTAATAGCACGGTAAGTCCTCTTTTTAATCACAGGGTGCAAGAATGCAAAATTGATAATTCATCTAAATATTGCTTTCTCACATATGTGATTCCTCTTCTTAGTAACATCAGATCATCATCTGTTTTTATGTATCTGTGCACCATGTGCTTTATTCTAGCCATCAAATAGTGTTTTTCAACTGAGGAAATTCCTGGTCACTGCCAGCTTATGGCATAGCTAGGGTTCAAACAGTGACTGCAGGGTTTAAGACTAACATGCTTGAACAATACATCATAAAAAACAATAACAATAAAATAAAAACAATACGTAAGGGTACAGCCATTACAAAGCTGCTGCAATTCAGTTTTCAACAGTGCAGTTGATCAAAAATGAGGGCTGAAAAAACTAACACTCTTCTAATCCTCAGGTTTAGAACAGGTGTAGTGAGACACAGACGTGACAAAGGTTTTCCCCAAAATGAAAGGATGAACTCTTAAGGAATCCTGATTGAAATTACTCTTTGATGTTTCACATCCAGATTGGGAACAAAAAAGACAAATGGTATCCAGATTCTAAGAGAAGTCCAAAAGAGGCAATTTTTACACTCCTACAACTTGTTCATTTGTATCAGACTGGAAACTCGGCAGAGTTGGCCCCTGAGAAGTAACCTAACAAGAATTTTGTGAAAAGGTTATGGGATTTATTTGGAACTCTGGACAGTTCCTTTTAAAATTCTGGGAGGGTACTTGTTAAATTAATGAACACTTTCCAAATGGTTAGAAAGGGCTAAACTGTGCATTTAAGCTTCTGGGCTCTCTTCAACTTACACTGATCCATATAAATGAAAAGAAAGGAAGAAAAAAATGGATGAGAGACAGTTTTACATTACCCATCAGTCATACCTCACTGTGATTTCACGCTGAGATGGTTAGAGTGCATTCGGTCAGGGTTTAGCAAGAGTAATTCATTGCAAACACACACAGAGGGAGGAGAGAAATAAAACAAACAAAAGAAAACATGACATGTCACTCTCAACAGCCAAGCCATTCAAACAAAAACAAGCCAGCAGATATGCAGTTAAACTACACCAGTCCAAAAATTCTTGGGCTAAAGTTGGGGTTAATTTCGGTCTCAGCATTTTGCCATGAATCACAATGTACATTCCTCAAAATACTTTCTAAGATTAACTTAGCTATTTTCATTCTAGTTAAAAAGAAGACATTCCATTTATGTTCCATCACAAACTTTGTTTGAAGAACAGCATTATAGTTTGAAGTACTTTTTTTGGTAATTCTAATGCTATACACTCATAAAACAACATCATTTAATAACAGTGTGCCAGGCAGTTTTTTCAAAATACTGTACTTTGGTTTCTTGTTTTAAACAGGTCTATTAATGTTTTGTATTGACAAAACAGTTTCCTTCTGTTCTTCAACACATAATCATGTTGAATTTAAAAATGTTCTAAAAAACAGGAAATAATTACTGAGCCTGCTTTCTTAAACTGTAGTTAAAATTAATTTGAAAAAAAATCTCGTGGCAAAATGCCGCATGCAATCTAGTCCAGGGCAGGCAAAGTACTCCTGCATTTTATCACGACACACAAAACTGATTTTAACAATTATTTTTTTTCCCCAGGGTAATATCATCTTACGATACATTGTGCTCAACACTTCTGCAGTATTGGTCTTTTATGTTGTATACATGATATCAACACCCAATGCAGGAACTGAAATGTAGTTTTGACTGTCCTCTGTTGCTGGCCAAGATTACAGAGTTATCACAAAAAGTTGTGTCTTTCCTCCACCTCCCACAATAGCTTGGTCAGCTAAGGGGCTCACATAGTATGAAAAACAGCAGATGGCTTCACAGTGCACATGAGTACATGCTACCTTCATCTAAAGAGTTCTAACAGTAGTGAGCAGGATAGAACAGTAATTGGCCTTTCAAAATTGACATGTAAAAAAAAGGACCAAAAAGAGGCCATTCTAAATTAATGGAAGAAAATTAAATATCCCACATGCCTTCTAATTTCGACCCCAGAATTGCACTTATGAGTAAACTGTGTTTAAATGGGATGGCGAGTCTTTAATTCTCTTAAATCTACTCTCTAAAGCTTTTGAAATAATAATAAACAGTATTGTTCAATTCAAGCACAATCATGTAAACGTTTTAGGAGATGTAGTATTTGACAATTAAAAATGTCAGACATTGCAGAATTTGAAAAAATGTGAGAATCAAAGTGGGGGTTTGATGGATCAGCTTAAAGGCCTTTATGTCTGTGCAATGAATAAGAATGATTGTTTCGTATTAACCATAAAGTCAATTGCTACTCTTTATGAAAGTGAACAAAAACATTATCGCGAGTAGGGAAAGAGATAACTCTCCTAGAATCTTTTCATTTTTATCTCAAAAGCACATGGCTAGTCTTTTATGAAAGAGTTTTAACAGGAATGGACACTAAGAAAAAAGGAAAATACACTAAGGACATCCACCTAAGCTTTTCTAGTAAACAGCTTGTACCAATCAGATATATGCTGCAAAGGCAAGCAGTCCCTACAATGATATTTTTTGAGGATATACATTTTATACAATTTCATGAATTGCACAACAGTAGTAATATTATTATTATTATTAATAATAATAATTGCTTACACTTATATACCACTTTCTGGACACTCCAATCAAAGTGCTTTAAAGTTAATGGGGACTCCCCTCCACCACCACCAATGTGCAGCCCCCACCTGGATGATGCGACGGCAGCCATAGTACACCAGAACGCTCACCACATATCATCTACTAGTGGGGAGGAGAGCAGAGTAATGAAGCCAATTCATTAGATGGGGATACCGGGGTTACACCCCTACTTTATTCGAAAAACGCCCTGGGATTTTTAAAGACCACAGAGAGCCAGGACCTCAGTTTTATGTCTCATCATGAAGGACAGCGCCTGTTTACAGTATAGTGTCCCCGTCACTATACTGGGGCATTAGGACCGCAAGGTGAGTGCCCCTTGTTGGCCCCACTAACAACTCTTCCAGCAGCAACCTTTAGTTTTTCTCCAGGAGGTCTCTCATCCAGGTACTGACCAGGCTCACACCTGCTTAACTTCAGTGGGTTGCCAGTTGTGAGTTCCAGAGTGATATGGCTGCTGGTCAATAGTACTGAATTAAAGATGAAACAGAAGTTACCGATAGTTATTCCTATAAAATACTTCTAATAACCTACAGGCACCATACTCATCTTGTTCTGGATATACTTTTTTTCCTTTTCCCATTTTCTTGAAAGTTCTTAGCATCGTCAAAGGCTTACTAGTATCTTTAACTGGAAGGAAAGAGATCTGACTACAAAACACCTGCAGGCACTAAGTTGGTAAACGCTGACCACATTCTACAGGAAAAAAGCTCAAGCTAAACAGGTGGACAGAACAACAGACAAAAGGATTGTGTGCGATAAAGTACGTCTTGAAACATCGCTCATATCGTTCATGACAATATTGCCGAGACTGAAAAAGCAGGGAGAAGATAATAAAGTTTGTGAGCTCGATACACAGACGTGGCAGTCGGATCTAGTGCTTGACCCAGTTAGAAAATAAAGAACATATAGCCAGGGAATTACAAAACACTATTTTAGAAAAAGGCCTATACAATGTTTTTTTTTTAATTCATTATTGTCCCAACAGCAGAGTGGAGGAGTATCTATTGCTGTAATCCTGTTTCACTGCTCTTTTTTCTTTTGGTGTTCAAAATGTTATTCCTTTTTACTGTTCTATTTAAATTAAAAGACTCAACACATTCAGAAACCATATTTAACAAAAAGTATATTGACACTTCACTGGTCTTATAGTTAATTTTTCGTGGGCCACACAAAACAGAAGTGGTTATCAGGGAATCAAATTTATTTTATTTCACCACCTGGGACCAGCTTCTCTCAGCTTCAGTGTTATCTGACAATCCAGGCTGCACACACCTCTAAATGTTAGTTTTGTCAGTTCCTCAACCTCTTGGAGCCCTTTGAGTTTCATTAGTTCCTTCTTCAATGAATTAACTTTTGTCACAGGATCTGCATTTTATGGTAGCTACCACAAGTGTAGTTTGGCTATTGGAGTTCCTTCAGGATGCTGCATGTCACATACAGTAAGCAGCAGATCACTGGTTTAAACACCATTTTTAAGCACTACATGTATAGTATACCAATAATAACAAAAAAGGTTATTTTTGGAAATAATAAACATCTGTGCGGTTTTCTCCACAGCTGTTTAATTGCCGTCTACCTTCCTGTTGAGCATTATCACCTTTTCAGCTCCTTCTGCTACACTTAGTTTCAAACTGTTACCAGTTTATTTAGTCTGGTATTAAAACCCTTACAACTCAAATCAATTTGTGTGCTTTGCAAACAAATCATTGTTTTCCTCTTATGCTAGAAAAACTGATACATGGCAAATTAATTAGCACCCCAAAATGAAAGAGGCCTTCAAATGGGTTTGACTATTCTTACTCTTGAGTATTAATTGGCTTGTTTTTCTACAGGTGCATGTGGTCAGCATTTCATAACCTTTTCAGTCCTCACTTGGATTCTCTTAATACACTTAAGTCGCACACCACTACAAAAAGCCAACCACACATATAATAGTGGTGAGTAAGAATCACGGGGCATAGCAATGGTACAGTAAGATGACCATGTCACAATGCATTCTTTAATACAATATGCCCTTGTTCACTTTCAGATCATTTTGCACATTCTATTAAACACAACACTAAATATTACTTAACTGTCTTATTTCAAGTGTTTCTGGTTCCTGCAAAGAAGATACTAAGTTGTGTGGTATAATTAATAAATTAATAATAAAAACTTATGTTAATTCAACCTTTAAGCCTGTTTTAAGATTAGGCAAGAAACTACATTCTTGTAAAAAAACGTCTGTATTTTGTTTCCGATTACTTCGGATTTACGTTCAAGTAAAATAAAATCACAAATACATTAATTTCCTCCATTTATGCCTATTTAACACAACATCGCCACCTCACATCCAGCTAGACTCACCACAGCACGTGAGCACAAGGGATTCTAAAACAGCCTGCTGTACATTACACATCCTAAAGAACACACTGTGAAGCTCATCACCTTTTTTTCAAGTGCTATTCCAAACAAAAATATTGTCACCTGGAGGAGAGACACAGCTTTCATCAAGCCAGTGACCCATGTTGCTTCTGCACAGCACGGTCAAAAGAAGACTGTTACCCAGCTAACCACAGTGACACTTGGCCAGTTTTGTACCTAGAGCTCAGTGCCACAGGGGGCAGGTCACACAGCATGGATTTGCAGTCTGAGTCTTAAGTCCCCAAGCTCATTTAACTCTTCATCTGTACACTCATCAGATGAGTCAACACAGAGATACACTAGATTTCCTTTCAGTCAGCACCTTCTGCACAGATAGTTATGTTCCCCGTCATACAACACAGGAATAGCTGAGAAAGGATTATAAGCAGTTAGGGCTAGGGACCAGAAAGTCATGACGTACAGCACAACGACACATTAAAGGGAATTTTTCTCCACAAGAAAAACGTAAACATGGAGGGTTTGAGACCATTAGAGTGTAAACTTTTCCCATTGGGCTTTAAGCTAGAGGTTTTTCCCCATAAGATTTAATGGAAAAACTTCAGGTGAGGGAGAATAAATTCACTTGTATGCTTTACTTATAGCTTAATAAATAAAGTCAGAGTGCCCCATTAAAAGTCCCAGGTTACATTCCTATAATGCAACTTACCGCAAAATGACATTTGGAATTAAGATCCATAAGGAATAAAGTAATTATCTTTTGGTGCCTTAAACAAAAGACACATTTTATGTAAGTGTGCAGGGATTTTAACATCGAGTTCCTCAATTTATCAAAGACGTAAGTGCGAATAAACATATAGTAGGGCAACTTATAATGGGGAATCCTACAACGTAAAGAATAATTTTTCAGATCCTAGCTAGCTGGTTTTATTGATGAACGGTTACAACTTTCAGCTGTGATCCCGGAGGTCTGAAGTACCTTATCATGCAATATTACAGGACGCCAATGTGAACTTGTGAAGAAATCAAGAATTCACCTAGTCACTGCAGTAATAAATACAGAGCATCCTCAGGCAGAAAATGACAACCATCTGATGTTCTCCAAAGGCTAATGTTACTTGAAATAATCAACTGGACTGTTGTGAAATGAGCCAGTGCTGCACACTACATATTGGCCCTGGTTATTACTATTATTCAAGTTAATAATCAAGTTATTATACTGGGCCGTCTCATATTTTTTTCTTTTGTGGAGGGCTACATATTTTATTTTTTAGGCGTGTCTAAGGATGGGCCCTCATCCAGGTTCAGCATACTCACAGGTGAGCATATTCACAAAAAAACAGGGAAGAAGATAGGAAATGATCTCTTGTATTTACTAAAAACAAACTATCTGTGCCAAACATCCACAGCCTCCAAAGGCAGCCACAAGACTTTCTGAGCCTTTAGAAACTCTTAGTATGACAGATAAATGATATTAAGACCATCCACGACTGATCTGTAGACAATCCTTACTAAGAGGCTGGCTGAATGGCAGGGCGAATTGTGGAATTAACACACAGATAATGTAAGACCAGGAACATAACTGGTAGTTGTAAAAAGTGCTGATGGAAATTCAATCTTATGGAAAATGTTTACAAGCTGTAAACATCCCTGCAAGAGAGACCAAGGTCTGCAGAAGTGTGGCTTACGAAAGCTCTTACTTCAGTCCTCTTCAGACTGATTCAGAATTGCACATCGTGGAACCTCTAAAAGGGGAAGTTTTGAAACCCATTCCCTCCCTCTCTCCCCTCACTCCATCTTTTTACATGCAAAAGCTCTTACTTACCTTCTCCAGCTGGCTATGGACATGCTGCACAATGAGGTCCAGGGCTACAAAATTCTCTCCCCCTGGAACACAGAAACTGTTAGACAAAGCAAAAACAGCAGTACTGGTTGAAATGGACTACATGAAGAAGAAAAAACCCGAGATATTCTTAAAAAAAGACCATTTAAATCTATTTAATCTATTTAAATGCTCTTAAAAATATAGCACAACACCATTATATTTTCAATCCATTTCCTAACTTCTTCATCCAATACAGGGCCGCGGGGGAGCCAGAGCCTATCCTGGCAAGCAACGGGCACAAGGCAGGGTACACTCTGGATGAGATACCAGACCATGGCACAGCATACACAGACATGCACACATTCACACCAGGGCCAATTCTATCAGAAGCCTTATTAACATACAAGCAACTCTGACTCTGTGGTCATTAAAAATCCTAGGGCATTTCTTCAAAAAAAGAGTAGGGGTGTTACCCCAGTGTCCTGGCCTAAATTCCCCCTGGCCTTTACCCATCATGGCTTCCTAATAATTCCCATCTATGAACTGGCTTCATCACTTTGTTCTCCTCCTCCCTGAGAGCTGATGTGAGGTGAGCATACTGGTGCACTTTGGCTACTGCACATTGGAAGTATTATGTTTTTGGACTGTGGGAGGAAACCGGAGCACCTGGAGGAAATCCATGTTAACAGGAGAACTTACAAACTCCACGCAGACAGCACACCAGATCAGGAATTCAACCCAGTGCTCCAGCACCGTGAGGCAGCAATGCTAATCACCCTGCCACCATAACGCCCCCATGATATGTTGTGCATTTATCCGCATTATATTATAAGGATATATATAATGTATTAAATATTTATATATAAAAATTATGAACATTCAGTAGTAAAGTTCTTAATTTTAAAAGAAAGACATGAAAGCTGTAACATCCTAATATTTGCTGTAATCTTCTAATCTAACAGATTTCTCTTTCATGGAAGTAACATTGCCCAATTAATCATTTTAACATAGGATATCATTTGCAGAGCTTTTTATTCAGTCAACTTTGATGTAGAATGGGCTATTTTAAGTTTTCAAGCTATTCCTGAATAAACAGATTTTTTAAAACGTCCAACACATTATAGCCTTTAGTAGGCACAGTCATTTGTGTGTCAAATTCTGAATGGTACAGTGGAGAAGCCTGAATGAGGAAGACATGGAAATTATTAGATGCTGCAGAGGGATATGTCCCTCTTTAAGAACAGAAGCCACAAGTTAATGCCCACTTCCTCATCTTATCATGTCAATGTCAAAAGTAGTAAGTGCCAAAAAATGGATTTAGGCAAAGAAGCAAAAGAAAATACAACATAAAAAATATACTTTTTAAATATTTATATTTATTTTATGTTGTATCATAGGTCCATATACAGTACTACTAAAGACAACCTAAGCTGGACATCATGCCACAAATTCACAATTTCCTGTTGTGAAACAAGTCTTTAGTTATAAATACATATGTCCACCTCCAAATTGTTAAGGTATACACCTGACTATGAGTCTCAAAAAGGAAAGGCTGGAGTAGAAAATGGGAAAATTCAAGGAAAATCAGATTGCCATTGGACGTGGTATTGCTTGACCACCAGATGTTGCTATTCCTCTGGAAAAGAAAGTTCACAACAATTCTCCAGCACAGTGACAGGCATCACTATGGCAGAAGCTACTGTTTTTGTGTAATTGGCAGGTTTAAAAACAGGTTTGAGCAACTACCCTCCATCTGCCATGTCTCTCTTGGACAAAGAGATCTTAATCTCAAAAGGACTTCCTCGTTAAATTCAGGTCAAAAGTTCAGATCCGAAAGAAAATAAATCAATACAAATAAATAACTTCAAGAGCCATGACTTACCCCTTGGAACCACGATATCAGCTACTTGCACTGTTGGCTCAATGTATTGCTCGAACGCTGGCTTCACAAACTTGTTGTACTGCTTAATGACCCCTACAATGTCTCGGCCTCGCTCAGAAATGTCTCTCTTCAAGCGGCGAACAAGCCGGATATCAGAATCCGTGTCCACAAACACTTTCATATCCAGCAGCTGCAGATAAGGGTAATAGGAGGCAACCAATAATTACACAGCAGAATAACATACTTTCTTTTGAAAATTAAAAGATTCATGGCATAAGTGAATTATCTGGTAAGAAAATAATGTCAATTAATAATAACTGAAGAATGAATGAAATACTAATATTCTTAGCAAGAGTGTGCTCAACTGAAAGAAATTAAGCAAGGAGAAACCAGAAAAACAGGTCTCCTAGATTCACTTTGGGAGATGAGACATAATCTCCTTTATGCAGTTACACCTGTCGATTTTCAAAATCTCCAGAATTGTCATTTTTTAGACAAAAAAACATAATCAGGGACACTGGTTCCATGCAACAGTAAAAATGTTACAATGTAGGTGTAAAAAGAACTCTTGTTTTTTCATAATCCATGTAGCTGGTGTTCTAAAAAAAATATGAGAATGTTAAAGAAAATTTTTATTTTGTCTTAAAACAGTAAATGTTAGAACAGCAAAAAGGAAACATTTATTTTACTCTAATCTTCCTTCTGCTGACAGTGACCTCTCAGCTTTGTACTGGGATTAATAATACTTATACTTTCACCCATGTTTTGATGTATTCAGTTTCAACAACTGCAGTGAATGGATTTTGATAAGCAACATGAAAATTAATTAAAAAAACAGTAGCATTACTTTTTAAAGGATTACCGATTTCAAGATCTGACGCTGTAGAAAACACCAAGTTTTACCACAGCATTTGGGGAAAAAAACACACCACACCTTTAACAGTAAACCGAGAAGAATTTAGGTATTGGCAACCACGCTTGCTATTACACCCCATAATCACTATATATATGGTCCATATAACAAACTCTACCCACAACAAACCCCAATCTTAAATATTATATTCTAATCAACTCAGGAAACTACAATTCTTACCTTGACAATGGCTTATTAGGACAAGATGTTGAAAATAAAGTTTAGCTCAGCGAGAGAAGTATTATGAGTATTAATGGTAACCTCTGGATAGCACAATTCACTCTCTCAACAGGACTGTCAAAGGGCGAAAAGATCACTGTAAATTGTGACCCGACCAACTTGCTCACACAAACCACAGAGCAAGCACAGCTGTCAACTGGCCACGTTTGCCTGTATGAAAAATGGGTGCAGGAACAGGCCTGTGTTTAGGATGGAGTGGGGTGTTACTGGACTGCTGACATTTCATATGTGTGGAGCTCTTTGTCATTCACAACTCCCGAGTCCCAGTCATGTGCACTAAGAGGATTCAGGGTATAGGAGGATATGAGAATGGAGCTCAAGTCCTAAATAAGGGTGACTAGTTTCTAGTTATAAAACCTAATAACCTGAAAGCATCTTTGCTCTAACAAAAAACAAAATCAAAAACATAAATAGAATATAATAAATCTTAATGCGAATACATTAATAATGTATATAACACAATAATAATACATATTTCTGCTTGAAAATCTTTTTTATCCAAATTTTTACACCACAACTCTAAATATTTACAGCACTCTTTCAACCCAGAGCTAACAAATTGAACTGGCTTTTCACCATGGAGTATGGAAGGGGATCAACTTAAGAAAATTATGATCCCTCCTGAATGACACACCTGTTCACAGGCATCTGACAAGCTGTAGTGATAGCTGTTGTGCCCCCAACATTAGAAATAGCTGCCACTAGAAATGCTAGCCCCTTCTACAAAAAATGAAATTGAAATTGAGAATTCCTGCATTGAGTTAGCACAGTACACAACATAAGTGAGCAAACATCTTATAGTCATATCTGACCAAAACCCTTTGCACCATCACAACCAGACATTTTTATTCCATTCCTCTCATTAGCCATACGTACCTTTAGTCTTCGAAGAATCACAAAGTGCTTTCTAATGCCCAAAGTGAGAATACTGTATGTCTGTCTTTTCCCAGGAACAGGAGAAACAAAATACCCCAGAATTTAAGGCATTCCTACTTTTTGTTAATTGTCCATCTCTCGTGTATCCCTCATAGACAGCAAATAAAAAAGAACCTTAAGTCTTTGACTAAAAAATAAACCACCTAAAGCTTAAATACATAAAACACTTCTGCACTAATTTTACAACTACAGTATTACAAAATTGTTCACATTAATCTGATCTGTTTGAAGCTATCGAGAAGATGGCCCAGATGTTTCACACAAACACCTTGGCTGTCTGAAGCTTTGTATCAGTCTCTTTTAACAGATTAAATAGACAAGTATCCCCTGTCACAGATGGCAACTTGAAATGCACAATAAGGTGTTTCTACTGTGTGCTAAACACGAATGACATACTACTTATGCTCAATTTATCTGAATACACTATTTTTAGACTGTATGGGACTTTTTCTTGAACTAAAACATCATAAAAAAAGGCAGGATTTTAAATTATTAGGCTGTGGAAGAGGCTTTATCAGTACTGGCTCAGCGTTCTGAATCAGGGCCAGGTTCAATTTTGTCTAACCTGGACACCTCCCCTAGCTATACAGCCCTCACTAGTCAAGCCAAAAGGTCTCAGCTCTTCCAGCTTTTGGCTTGAAAACAATAAGTGGCATTTTAGCTGCTGAATAATGCCTGGATGTGTGAACCAAAAGTGAAGAACTAAATAAAAATAAAAAACGACCCCCCCCCCCCCCCCAATTCAGAATCATAGTACCACTTCATTAATCTCGTTATATCCCATCTCTGCGCGGTGGCAGCACCATTAATCACTCGCGCCTGCAGAAAGGCACGCGCCCATCCAGCGGTAATGATGAATGCAGCTAGACGGGCAGCAAAGCTCCTCTCTCTGACAACACCATAATCACAAAACAAATGGGTCAGACCCAGCTCCCTGCTATTTGCACCTTGGCTCAACATACGGGTCACAAAAGGTTATTAAACACAACGCACATAAAAAAAACGACTGCTGTTTATTTCTGTCCTGGATCATAAACGAGCAGTGTGCATCTCTTAGTTTGAAGGGCAACGATAACCCAGCTCTTTGTTGGTCAGTGTCGCTGTCAGATTTTACTTCATGTAAATTCGCCCTCCTAGAAAATCCTCAAGGCCATCCCTGAAAACCACTCGTGAGAGTGCCCAGTCTGAGAAAAGCCCCCTTCGTAACTGCGTCTGCTTAACACAGGAAAATTAAAAAACAGAAGCTGTGCAATCTGGAAAATACAAAAGGTGGTCACCATAATTCCACAAGCTTTCGTCTTTGCGGGTAGAAGGAAACCAAAGAGAATGGACAAAGCCTAAGAAGACACTCAAGGTTTTGTCAAGATTAAACCATTTCTTTTTTAATTCTGGAAGATACCGTAAGTTTGTTTTTCATATTTTTTTCTCATTAATAGCTGATCACAAGGTATGATGTGATATTACTATTATTGTACATAAGTGCAAGCTTAAATCTGTACTCTGCTTTTCAAAAGGAGACAGGCCACAAAGATGAACAAAGATCATGTGAATTTGGGCAAGCCACACATCTGAAAGAGGAAACATCTACATTGGTAAGGTTAAGGCTATATGTGAGGTTAAGAAACAGGGTGAGAGCTAAGGTGACCAACTAGTGACATGGTTACAATCTGGTTAAAGGCTAGGGTGATTTTCATCTGTGCTTCACTAATGAGGAAGCTCCCAAACTCTGGAGAAAACCTTTAACAAAATCATCTTGACTGCATTAACAGCCACACTATCTGATGCCACTTCCAGTTCCTTAAGACAAATACTCTACCCTACAACTGTGCAAAACAAAACAATCACCTGTGTACATGCTATTTTCTTTAAAAGAGTTAGCATAACCTTTTTAGTCAACGAATACAAGATAAACAACTTTTTTTCCCCAAAAAATGAAAAATAAACACCATTAGGGCTTAAGATACATCTTATTTTCTTGTCACTCATAACAAAAATAAAACAAGAATATTAAGCTGATAAACTAAAGACACCCATAAGCCAAAACAACAAACAGCTGGTCTAGATATTAATACTATTATATGCTATTAATATTATCCGTATGTGAGACATACTTTTAAGATCTGTAGCATCCAAACAATGCTCAAATTCAGGTTTTAGCACATCCTGCTGTGGTATAAAAATCAGAGGTAAACTAAGATTAAAAATTAAAAAGAATGAACTTTATAACAAATGTGAAACAATTAGATATTTACCAATTGCTGATTTATATTATTAACAGTGAACCTTCATGAAATCAGTGGACTAGAGCATTGGTGCAAAGTCATTTGCTAAAGGGCACAGAGATGGTGGAATTATACTTTTTTTTTCTAGGCTGTGGATGATAATTGTACAGAGGACTAAGCATCACAGCCTAGTACAAGCTGGATAGGGCTCCTAGAGAACACAAGATGTCGAAGGTTGTCAGTAACGAGAGCTCAGGAGGTGGAAAGATTCCTAATATTAAGCAGTGAACAAGATGAGCAGAGGGCTGAAGTAGTGAGGGAAGGGGTGTGGTGTTGTAATTGGGTAATGGGAGTTAATTAGGGCCAGCTGCGCTCGTAAGACTACTGGTAACACTGGTAATACTTTGCTTGCAAAAAAGCCACCAAAAAATAAGATGCCATTTACTCAGGGATTTTTTAGAAAATGCAACTGTACTTGTCTTGTTTATGAAGACCAGATGCTATTATCTTTCAAAGCTGTTGAAGGATCTGACTGTGAACCGACAACAAGCCCTTAGGTGTAGTGCAAGTGAAATTTTTCACTTACATTATCCTTGTTTCTCTCCAGAGATTTTCAGAAATTAACTATAAAAGGAGAAAAAAACCCAAGACTGAGCATGTTTTTTCATAAGAAACTTAACCAAATGGAGTTTACCTTCAATAGTTCCTTGTTGGCAAATGCAAGAATGCCTTCAAATATAACTACATTTGCTCCATAAACTGTTTTCTGAAAGAGAAAAAAAACAAAGTTAAAAAAGTGCAAAAACAAATGGCACACCTGGCAATTTACCCTTTTAAGATCTGTATTCATTTTTTACGTACTGCAATAACAATAAACAAAAACATTTGTGTACCAAACACAAAACTAATGAAGCAGAATAGCAGTGTCTAGATTAACAGTAGGCCAAAGTCCTAACTAACCATGTTTAACAATATAATGAATTGATAGCTAACAGGGTGCTATTTGGGTGGAGCTTGTAATTTCTCCCCATGTTTGTGGAGGTTCCTTCAATGTACTCCTGTTTCCTCCCACAAAGACATACTAGCAGGTTAACTGGTATTGGGTAAAATTGGCCCAGGTGTTAGTGTGTGTGTCCTGTGTTGGACTTGTGTCCTGTCCAGAGTGTACCCCATCATTTGCTTCCCCGTGAATTGGATGAAGTGGTCCGAATATGAATGGTTGTTTCATCGTACTGCTTTACAACACAGAACATTAAGATACATATTATATGATTCCTTCTTCATACTGCTTCCTGTGCTGTATCGTGAGAAAAACATACAAAATATTTTAGAACACATAACTCCAATTTAAGAGTAATAAAACAAACAATATGAGTTTCCCATCCCAAAAAACAGCCCAATTAATATGAACCAACATAACACAAAAGAGGCCCACTACATGAGCACTGGGAGCAGTAGAGTGGTACAACATCATAGCAGTAGATGGTCAGAAGTATCACTATGCAGGTGGGACTCAAATCCAAGTAAATACTAAAAGAGGCAATGAAGGCCACATGGTCAGGCATTGAGCCAACATGTCCGTCGTTAATTGACCTTCAAAATTAGGCACAGCAGGTCTGAATGGGTAATTAGCACTCAGAGGAAGTCTATGTGTGGGAAAAGAAGCATTAGGATAGGCTCAGTGTGGAATTAGCCACTCCTCTGGGATAACTGTCAGAGCTAGGAGTAAAACACTACTGTAATGCCAGACTTGTAGAAGTGTCCACAACAAGTTACAATACAGTATTTCAGAATTCAGTATCTAGATTCCTGACCTTGTGACACGCAAGTAATCACATCACCCCTGTGACAGAGTCCTTGCATTTCCAAGTAAAATATCCCCTAATAGACTGGCATTCTTTCAAGGTTGTGGTTTTGCCCAAACTCTGCATTATGAGATGGAAGAGCAGAAGTTTAAAACAAACAACCATACAGTAAGTCATATCTTTCTGTATCTCAACCTCTACAGAGAGTAGTATACCATCAACTGTTTCACAAGAAAGACACAACAACAAGGGTGGTGCAGTGGCTCTATGGCTAAGGATGTGAGCCTGTGGCTGGAAGGTTGCCGGTTTGCATCCCACGGCCGGCAGAGGAATTCTACTCTGTTGGGCCCCTGAGCAAGGCCCTTAACCCCAACTGCTCCAGGGGCGCCGTATTAATGACTGACCCTGCACTCTCTCCCTGTCTGTGTGTCTCATGGAGAGGAAGTTGGGGTATGCGAAAAGACAAATTCTTAATACAGGTAATTGTATATGGCCAATAAGGTGATCTTATCTTATCTCTTATTTAACACTCTGTATCAATGTTAAAAGTGCAATAATAACGGGTTAAATACTTAATATTTTTTAATGTGTCTCCCTACAGTTTAGCATGGGGATCTGTTTTATCTTGCAGTTGCCAAGGATCAAGATGAGGTTAATTTGGTGATGAAAAGCAAAAAGAAAAAAATAAAATGTTTTAGTTGCAGAGCTTTCCACGTACCTGAAAAAGGCTCCTCAGTTGAAATGTTTTTTGTTTTTTCAATTTACAAAAATTTCAAATCTTACAAAAAGATTACATTAGAATGAACTTCAATCAATGTATATGCATTTTAAATGACCTTTTTAAAAAAGACTAAACAGAACAATGTTCTACATGAACTAAAGTGAATGTTAGGAAAATCTGAAAAGAAGATGTACAAAGTGAAACTTACTGACTTCATAAGTATTCAGCACTCTAAGTCAGTACTTGGTAGAATCAACCTTTGGCAGCAATTACTGCTGTTAATATTTCTAGACAGGTCTCTACCACAGTGGCATTGTGTATTTTTGTTCATTCTTTCCTGACACAATTACCCCCAATTCATTGGGAACAGGTGATGCACTATAATCTCCAAGTCTTGCCATAAATTTTCAAAAGATCAATTCAGGACTATTCAGGTCTATGACACCCAAGGACATTCACTCTCGTTAGTATACTTCAGAATTTGGCTTTGCACTTCTAACTCATAACTAAGGTAGATAGAATCTAATGATAAATACTACACTCATCTTTTGAATGTGCTATATTTACTACAGTTTTATGCAGCACACAGATATGGATTATTAAAAAACTGTGTGGAAAGCATCTGAGAGGGCATGACTTGCACAATGCCACTATCGTTAGTTCATCTGGTGTACATCTCCAAGTACCCATAAACGGCTCCATTTTCTACTTGGTTTAGTGTCACAAATTATCTCTTCACCAGCTGCTAATTTTTAATTAAGATCTATGTGCTCTAATGCTGTATAAATGTGAAGTATAAGCTAGATTTGTGCAAAATCAAATGGACTGGATTAAATATGAAACTTAATTTGTTGTCAGTCTAAATGTGTGCTACTGCCACTCAATAATATTAAATTCAACAACTTTACAATGTACGATCACTCAGCTAAGAGAAGCAATTGTGGTATCAATTTTTATGGAGATTTGTCTTGGTTTCCATTGTCTTCTTGTCTGGCAACTCTTCCATCTTCCAGTAAGATGGTATCAGATAAACACAGTGCAAAGAGACACACAGACAAACTGAACATCTGACAACACTCTCCTCACTTGCTATTTTTCTGTCTACATCAGATCTCATTCTAGGGACAGAAGAGAACTACCGAACATTTTTAAATAATAACAGGTAGAAGCAGGCTGGGCACACTGACAGGAGAATCACAACGCAGGGTGATCTTTAGGGTCTCATCTACTCCTTACTTTGATGGCCCTTGCAATCAAAACTGCACTGTAAATAAAATTACATATCGCAAAAAAACTATTAAGAAACTTCACATTCAGCAATTCTTTCACTTTTTTTAAAGAATAAAGAATGTAACACCAATTAATACCTCGTTATCCTAAATAAACAACCTGGTGACCCACTTAAGTCATATATTTTTCTTATGAAAACATCTTGAAGGACACAAACAGAGAACCCTATATATTTTAGGAAAGCTCCAGGAATTGTTTTTTGAGGAGGCAGAGACAAACCTTTCCTGCCAGTGCAGATAACTAAACTTAGTTTCTCAGCTTTTCTATGATGTACTAGCTCAATTCTGCACTCTGTTACACTAAGGAAAAGAAAGGGGTAGGCTGGAGGGAGGCTGGACTGCCTGACAGAGCAAAAAGTCCACTTTTGTAAGCTGGAAGGATATATTAGATTTTCATACAGCAAAACAAAATGTTTATCTGCAAGGCTCTTCCTCACTTCATCTTCCATTTTATCTCTCTAGCTGATGGGACTTTTTTTTCCCATTTCAGCTTTTTGTTTTATGTAATTACGATCTTCAGAATTTATCTGATACCCAATAATGGAATTTTTTAGGAAGCGTGCTACAGGTCACTAAGCAGAGCCTTGTAATAGGGTAGCTCTCTCGCCAGGAGTAGCAGAATCGATTGTGTTATCAATTTTAACGGGGGTAGGTCCTGCATTCAGAAGCAGCGCCTGACAGGCAGACCCATACAGAAATTCACCTCTGTGAAGAATGTCAAGAAATCATTGTGTGTCAGTGAAAACGTTTACCGGCATTTATTCCTGAATGTCCTGATCAATGTAAAGTGCACATTTTTTAATGGCTGATAAAGGTAGCAATTTCTGAAGCTTCTCAGTGATTCACCCTATAATGGCCTCCACTTCAAGTAAAGGTTTGACATCCTGTTCAGGTGTCAAGGTTTTGCAAGAAATGCCTTCCACATTACGTATAGTCCCAAGACAGTTGGATCAACACCCTGGTAACAGAGTTTCAGTCCATTCATATGGCGTAACGTTAGAAACAATATTTTGCATTTTTCTTTGTGCATTTATGGGTACAAACATAGGGCACAAAGCACACTGTCTTAATGTTGAACAAATCCATATTCATCTCTCCCAAAGGGCTGAAATGAGCAAACATCTAATTTTGCTTTCTAAGCCACCACCATTTAGTCCAAAATGCTTGACTTTAAACTTAAATGTGAAATGTTTTCAGCGGCATGGATTGCCAGCTTTCCCATGAAAGCATTCAAACAAAGATTAGCCCTGCTACAAATAATGCAGTAAATAAACCAAATATGTCAAAGAATTGTAATTGGGTAGCATGTTGTAGAGAATTAAAGAACAGTCAATCATACATTTTATAATTTTTTAACTTAATTTCTTTGTAGCTTATTAGACTTTTATTGCACGTCGTTAAAAAACACTCAGCATGCCAATAATGGCACACATGCCACAGGCTGTTGACCCCTATACTATACCATGCAAGTGTCAACAATAAACCTTGTGCATCTCAGAATCAGGTTATCCACACCTAGTTTGTCACTGAATGTCATTCAGTGCACAGAAGCTCAATGTCCACATCAGTTAATACGGATTTATGCTGCAATAATCTCTCTTTGGTAAATATTTCTAAATGGCTGTAAAGTAATAGAGCAGAATGCGACACATATGACTTTCAGGAAGTTATAAGAAGCAATGGTCCTAGTTAGAGTTGTGAGTGGTAACTTGGCAGAATACCATATTTGAACTCAAAGGTACACAAAATAGCACAGTCATTACACTGTTTTGAACTACATCTAACACTTAACAGATCCTAAAATAATTTTCTGGGTGCATTCATGCATGAAATTAATTTGCCTCTCAGTTAAACAAAAAAAAGAAGAGAATCTGTTTCACTTTGTAAAGAAAAGGTTGGATTTGACTGTTACATGTTACCTCTGGAACCTTTTAATGCATTACTGCTTTTCCCTTGTGAAGCTTAATTGAGTTTGTAGCTGAAGGAAATAAGGTAAGAGAAATGGTTTAGCATCACTAACATTTAAGTACAGTTAAAAATCTTAAATTATCCACACAGCACTAGCACCACTGGGCAGTCATTAATCATAGTTTCGATGTCCCATAAGTTGCATTTCCAAATTATTTTAATAAACATAATTTGGTCAATAAGCAATAAAAAACAGAAAACGTTAACTTTTTTCAGTGTTACGACTTGTGGCATTGAAGCAGAAAATATAGTACCACATGAATAAAATTAAGATTCTAAAAAAAGTTAATTGTTGTGCCTTTCCTATTGTGTTAAAATTGATCTGTCAATAGACGGCTTCTTTAATAGAAGACTTCTTCACACACTAACAAAACATCTGAACTCTAAACCAGGATACCAGAAGAACCGGCATGACTTAGAAGACAACCATAAACCCATTCAAAGGCTATTCCTTTCCTTTAATTTTATACTTCCCCTCCCACAGATCTTACCCACTCCTTGCGGCGACTGTGCATGGTGAAGTCATACACAGGTACTTTAATGCTCTTTCCTTTCTTCAGTTTTCTAAGCACATTTACTAGCAGCTCAAAGTCGAAGGCATCCGGATGGTCAAAGTTGTATTCGTTCTTAGCTGCCAGCTCCTGTTCCTCTTTACTTAGCACCTGTGGGTTAGATGCAGACCCTGTCATACCGTATTATTTTATTTTCAAAATAGTGTCTTTCCATTATGTGTCCAGACATTTGTGTCACGACATTTTAGTAAATAGGAAGCCTCTGGGTGATGGACACAAGACTGGCCCTTGAGAGTAACAGAAGCAGAAGTCTGTAAACAAACCTACTGCTTAAACTTACTGGAAAACATCATTACAACTGGGCTCACTGAGCACGTGATTTGCTCAATTAAAAAAAATTTAAAAAAAGAGCTCAGGTAAAACAATTCAAGTGGCATTCTGGACCCTACATTTGCTACTATAAACAAATGAAATATGAAGATTTAGATCTGAGTAGATATGAAATCAAACAGAAAACATTGATACTAAAGCTGAATATCTCAACACATACCATCTTTAGTTCGGGTTCTTAAGACAAATGAGAATAAACCCAAAGCAAAGACGTGTCTCGCTCAAACACCTGTGGCCATACACTGTCCCTATATAAGAAAAATAAGTAGTCATCAGTAAAGTATTATTCTGTTGGTTAGTAAAGCCTTAGGTAATGAAATAGGATAGTTTTATCTTAGATGCAGAAGAATTCTGGCTGCAGCATTTCGTTAATTACAACTTGTTCGATGAAGCATCTTTTAAGGCCTACAAGCAAAAGAATCATTTTTCAACTGACAATTACAGAAGCACACATTCAAATTTCAGCATTAGCAGGAAGCTGCACTGGCTGCAAGCTACCTTGCTTTCTCAAGTAGTTCTTTCTCCTTGTCCTTTAAAAGAATGTATTCAGAGTACCTTAAACGTACTTTCTGGGAATGTAAGAACTAAAGAAATGGGACCAGGAACAAAAGCCACTGTTGAGAAGGAACATGAAACATTCCACCAAAACAGAACCAAAAGATGCAGGAACTAACGAGCTCAAAACAAAACATTAAAAATCCAGTATCCTCTACTGTTATTCTCAAAGTCATTTAATACAATATGCTATTAATTAGTAAATGCTTTATGAAATTAAGACAGTTGTAGCATATTTAAGCAAAAGAATCATTTTTCAACTGACAATTACAGAAGCACACATTCAAATTTCAGCATTAGCAGGAAGCTGCACTGGCTGCAAGCTACCTTGCTTTCTCAAGTAGTTCTTTCTCCTTGTCCTTTAAAAGAATGTATTCAGAGTACCTTAAATGTACTTTCTGGGAATGTAAGAACTAAAGAAATGGGACCAAGAACAAAAGCCACTGTTGAGAAGGAACATGACAACATTCCACCAAAACAGAACCAAAAGATGCAGGAACTAACAAGCTCAAAACAAAACATTAAAAATCCAGTATCCTCTACTGTTATTCTCAAAGTCATTTAATACAATAAGCTATTAATTAGTAAATGCTTTATGAAATTAAGACAGTTGTAGCATATTTAATATTAAAATCCGTGACTCACATTTAATCACATTCATTTGTTATGAGTTTTGGCAATCAACCTGCACAAAAACATCAGAAAAGAACGAGTATGGTACCCACATAAGGGTCTTGAAGCACACAAATAACAGTATAAAAGTGCTTATTTCATATGGAGCCTTATCAACATTAAGCACTAGAAAAGCTTGCTTCTACTTGTAAGTACCAAGCAGACACAAAACATTCCTTCTATTTCATTGTGCCGTAAATATACCTGCTTGTTCTTTAATTCCTCAGTCCTGAAAAAATACATCTTGGATACTTTTATCTCAAGGTAGTAAAGAGCTATGAGGATTGCTCTGCTTTTTTTCCAAGGGAAATTTCTCATGAACCAGTACTTTATTTTAGGTTATTTTTTCCTAAGCAGTGGCTGGCTGGAAGGTCACCCCGGCTACCTCTAGTTGTCTCTTACCTGGCACAAACTTACCTTGTAAAAAGAATCCATGGAAAGAAGCACAACCCAGGGCACATCCAGGGCTTCTATAATCTTATTTGCTACTGTGGTCTTCCCAGAAGCACTGCCACCACACAGTCCTGTCAAACACACACACACACATCCTCAACAAAACTCCTCAAGCACTGATCTAGACAGGTAGAGTATGTAGCCTAATGCATAATGTGTTCCCCTCCCTTGAACTACAACAATATTTTTGTTGTCTCTCTTAAGTAGGTAAATGATCAAAAGGGAAGGACATGAAAACACCTTAATATAAGACATTTTCTATTTGACAGGAGTATAAAACATTTGATGTGTTTGCTAATATCCATGAAATACAAATAGTAGTCTACAGATATGTAAATTCCTAAGTATCTATGCGATGTGCAGATCCCAATCAACTATTTGGTATATGTTTTTAGTAATTTAACAATGATGATGTTTTTCATATGCTTTTGGCTGTCAATCCAAGCAGTTTATTAAAACCATACCTGCTTGTTCTTTAGTAGGAAATGAAGCCTAGCATATGGGCAAACAGGAACTGCAGAGTATGATTTATCCATACAAGTAACTTGCCTTAAGAGACAAGCCCAGGGTTATTATTAACCACTGCATTTTAAAAATAGAAGAATATTTTTTAAATGCTTTTTTCACAGAATCTGCTGTAAGAAGCCCCCATTTACTGCTTGCTTATTGAGATTTTTTTTGTTATATCATTTACTGTAAATTATATTTCAAGGGAATCAGTAGGAAGTTCTTGGCTTATTCTCCTGCTCTGTCCAATTTGATATTTAAAAGAGAAATGGTTTTGCCATACTCAATAGCATAGCAATACTGCTGCTTTGCCCTTAAACACATGAATAGTAGAACGGCCACAACTTTCCCTTTTATTAGAGGATATTTAATAATCATACATTAGTTAAGGTTTTAATTATGTTATAGATCAATTTCTATCTGAAATACTCATTTGATATCTTCCCAAGATATATTTCCATTATCTGGGACCTTTGATACAAGCCGATCATTCCACTTCAAATGGTTTTTTTCCCCCAAAATGTCTGAATTCTCAGGGTGCTCAGAGGGTCACAAGGATGGGGTTTTATAGGAATAATCAGCCAGAACACAACCAAGTGTGAAATTGTAACCTGTCAGCTAGCCTCACTGAAAGGTAACAGACTGCATACTAATGATAATGACCAGGGTCCCTCTGGCGCTCTTGTCAGTTATAGACTCCTCAATTTATATCATTTGAAACAAAGCGTTTCTGCTCTGTGCTTTAAATGGCTAATTTGGTTCCCCAGATATGCAAATTAAATGTGTAAATCACATAATACGTACAAGGGGATGATAGAATGAAAAGGTCTGTCATTTTAGGTTTTAGAATGAAAAGCTCTGTCATTTTAGGTTATTTTGCCTTAATATAAATGTAAATGTATGGTATAAAACATTTCTGAACTGACCACTGTATCGATCCTACAAGATCCAGAAATCTTTTCATACCAGATCATAATGACCATCTTAGGTAGCTATAGGAAAAGCATTAAGTAGCATTGAGTAGACATTTGATCTTTTTACCAATTACAAAGGCTTCCTTGAAGGTGGTTCCAGTGACATTGTACCAAGGAGGCCGCCCTGCAGTGTAGATTGTCCTTTTGCTGGTCCTTAGCAAAGGAGGCTCTGTTTTGCTCTGGCTGGTGGTTCGTTTCCGTGGAGACAAAGAGGGAGTGAGGGGACACCTGCGAATAAGGTTGTCTAACGAGTCCTCCCCACTGCCACTGAAACGACACAAATGTGAGGGAAGCTAAATGGATGTTTATCCAAGGTTTTTCAGCAATTTTCTCTCCCTCGATTTTTGGCTCATTAGTGAGACATCTGAGTGGGAACAAGTTAACATGTGATATAACTTGAATGTCACTTGCGTCAAGTGTCGTTCCAAGAAAGCACATACTGGCAAGACATTAAAACCAAACAAAGTCTGTCCACAATAAGCCACAAGCTGGGAGACCGCTAGTCAATTCTGTGCTCTTTTTCACACAGTCCAACTGCATCACAAATGTCAGGTCACAACTGATTGATGTTAATCCCACTAAAGGTGGAAACACTGTCCAAGTCCCGAGAACTCCGTTGCTGTACTTCCTGTGGCCTCATCCTATTCTGAGAACATACCAGCAGCATTAACACAAAGGCTCATAATGGCTTTCTTACAAGATGAGAATGTGACAGACTTGATTCCGACTTAACATCTGTGGGAAAAGTTAGGACAACATGTGGCATCTAGGTCTCAGAGACGAGAAAACAGATACATGCTTGCTCTAACTATAAAGGAGGACTGGGACAGAACCCCACAAGACATCTACAACGTGGTGCATTTTTTCCTGTGACAGCCATATGCGATACCAGCCCGAGACGCTCACGTCTGAGCTGCAAAGATACACCTGCTGCAAAAACATTGGTAATTTCCCTTTTACTAATGCTGCAACGCTGTTTCTCCTGATGTTTAGTATTTCAGCCTTTATTATTACAGAGAAAATGAATGTTGGATGTTGATGTCCATGACAAATGTGGTGGTTATACCTCATATTAGCCTTTAGTCTATTTTTAGAGACGGGACCCTGATATCCATTATAATAAATGAGTGATAATATCCTTCCATTTTCTAAATGCTCTATCCAATACAGAATCAAAGGAAGCCAGAGCCTATTCGGGCAAGCAATGGGCATAAAGCAGGAAAAAACTTGGGTGGGATGCTAGTCTATTGCTGGGCACAGACACACACACACGCTCATACAGGGCCAATTTTCTCAGAAGCCAATTACCCTACCAGTAATGGTTTTGGGCTGTGGGAGAACACTGGAGCATCTGAAGCCTACATAAACCCAGGGAGAGCATACAATCTCCAGGCGGAAAGTACCTCAAGTCAAGGGCACAATGCTAACCAGAGTGCCACCCACAAGTGGAAAATGAAACGCAAATAGTAACACTGTAACTCATTTGAAAACTAGTATGGTTGCTGAGAACTGATAAAGGAAATGATCAACTTTGTATTATCCACAGTGTGCGCTCTGGGAGCCCTGCTAGCTCCAGGGCTCAGTGACATCAGTGAGGGATGCACGTCTCACAAACAGAAGGCAGCAGGTGTCAGCTGTGCAATGCCTGGACCCCCCCCCCCCAACTCCTTCATCCACAGCCTGACTTGTAAGGGTACTCAGAAGCCCACTGGTTTGTACAACAGGCAATCACTGAGCAGGTTTTAAAAAAAATCAATTTTTTTATATGTATCTATGGAAACCAAACTACGCAGATTTAAGAAAATTCCACAACCACGCAGAAAGATCTGTGGGATTGATTTTGAGGATTTGTCCCTTTCTCCGTCTTAAAAAAAGCAGTAATATTACAAGTCACGAATTCCAAAAGATAATGAAAAATGCAATCTTTATTAAACAACCCACTCATTCACAAATTTAATAAACGCACTTAACCTAAAGAAGGAAAAGTCACTACAGTGGAGACTATTTCACAGTTCATTACCACTCCGTCAGAAACTCAAGATCTAGCCATTCAAAATGAGCGAGGTATGCCTAGTTGCCTAAATCGAAGTTAAACAAGGGAGAAGGGACGGCTTATTTTTTTACAATTGCAAGTAATCAGAGAACAGCTTATCACACGATGAGCAAATGATTTTTTTAATTTTTAAAAGCAAAATTAGGTACAATGACGTGTTCCTGCCTAACTTAAACACTGCATGTCCTTAAAAGCTGTAAAAAAATAGGTTATAGTAAAAACTGGGGGTTTTTCTTCGTTGTGATCATCTTAGAATCTTTGTGTACGCTGTAAGATGTTTACTTTTTAATTAAACGTTTAAAAAAACCCTGAATTTCATAAACGCAACACTCGTTTCATACAGAAATAAATCACATTCTCTTCTCTTCCTGTTGTATAGGACAGATCAGCACAACATGAGCTTTCTATAATGTAGAGTGCGAATGGCACCAATCACATCTGTTTTTATCACTTATTACAACGTAAATCGTTATCTTTGTCTTCTAAGTCTCATAATCAACTTTAAACATAGCCTTCTCGCCATTTAGATTTATTTTTCATACAATCTTTAAACAAAGCAGGAGCTAATTGTACTTCCTAACGGCATCACACGTGGAAAATAGGGTAAAATATCATTTTAAATATTTTGCTAACAATCAACAATTAATAATCATAACTGTTAAAAAAATGAAATATAACTGAGGAATCGTATGGCACAGTGGTGAGCATGCCTTTTGTATGTTTCTTCATAAATACAACAGTAGCACCAGATGTCTCAGAGGCTTTCAAAATTTAATTATGAATGGAAATTTTTGAACTGGAAAGATAACTTAGATATCCATCTATTTTTAATGGTGGCACAGTGATTAGCATTGCTGTCTTGCTGTGCTGAGGTCCTATTTTCAATTCCTGAGGTATTGTATGTGTGGAGTTTGCATGTTCTCTCTGGGTTAATGTGGGTTTTCTCCAGGTAATCTAATTTCCCCTTGCAGTCCAAAACATACTGGTAGGTTAACTGGCTTAGGGGAAAACTGACCCTGGTTTAAGTGTGCGTTTGTGTCTGTTTGTCTGCATTGTGATGGAATGACACTATGTCCAGGGTGTATTCTGCCTTGAATCCGTTTCTTGCTGGGATAGACTCCAGCTAACTCTGTAAAGGATAAAGAGATTAGAAAATAGATGGAACTAAAGGCACTGTGTAACTACTGTATACACAGTGATAGAAATCCACTATGAGATGGCAGGATCTCACTGAGGATAAATTATTTTATAGTGCTGGTTTAAGGAGTCGGCCTTTCCACTTCTCTGGATCTAATCAATCTAACTAGCTATTGTCTGTGCTTTCCATATCTTGCTTGATGTATTATTATTCTGAAAATCTCCTTCTTGAAATGGGTCAGTTACAAATACCTGTTTTCACTGTTAACATCTTGCACCAACTCTATATCTTTTTTTTTAGTAGTTCCATTAGTGACAAAGGCTAGATTACTTTATTGGAAGAATGTATTTTATGTGTTGCAAACAAAGACTTGCTTTAACAAAATATTTACAAATGCTTTCCCCTGGCAATCTACCTGAATGCTCAACTGTTTGAGAAGCTTTCCATTAAACCATGTTTGCTATTAATTCATATAAGGGCTCTCTTACTCAATTGCTCTGTTTTTCATGTGTGCTAAGTTTCCAATCCTCTGTCCTATCAAACCTTCATAGTCTCCCTACCAGAAATGCACCTGATTATTCAAGTCCCTCACTCTCTGCCAAATCTGCTTCAGGTTCACATGTTCACATTCACATGTTCTTTTGTAACACACCCCTTTCTGTGATTTTTTGTTTATCTAAGCTTTGGCAAGTGTTCCTGCATCCCTCTTCAGCACTGTCTGGTCATGGCTTTTTTTCTGTTTGCTTATTTCAAGGTAACACCTGCTCCGATTCTAAAAATTTTGGCTCATGTGCATTTTTGTATTTTTATCTCTAACACTTTAACATCCCCAATGTTCATTTGCCTTAATTTTTTTAAACTGAATTTTAGTTTTAGCCTTAAAAAAAGCTTACACTTCTCTCTTTTGTTTCTTGTCCTACAGAGATCTTAAATTGTGAAGTTCCCAGCATTTTTACATGATTAAATGGTCAGGTTACTTGGACATAACGTTTTCATTGTATTTGGCATACTGCACTACATGCACATAATGTATTGGATGTAATGTATGCACTGGACATATAGCTGTTCTATTTATATTGAGTATATTTTCATTTTATTCTATTTTTATTGCGCTATTGTTATGTCACTATATCTTGCAGCTTTTAATTTTGCGACCCCCCGCTGTGCTTGCAGAAAAGATATTCCATCGCCAGCAATTACTGCTGGACGCTGTATTGTTGAGCAACTGATGGAATAAATTTGGATTTGCTTTTTAAACTGTTATTACTGATCACTGAATTATTGCACTTGATATTGCTTCATTCACCTCCCTTGCCTGAATGTCTATGACAGGCAGAACTAGTGCAGTCTCTGGGGCGAACTTTTTGCAGCTGGAATTCCACTGTTTAAACGAATACAAAGTTAGATTGTTCGTAAATCTAATCACTTATTATATGCCAACAAAGTAATTGCTCTCTGAAAATGCTTTTTTTCTTGTTTGGTTTGGATGAAAAGGGCTGTTTAATTTAAAGAAGAAAGTCCATGAAGTGAAACACATCAGCAATGGTGAGGCTTAAAGCAGTGTGAATAAACTTGGTGAAAACTCCAGCTGAATCATCCAATCGGAATATTATGCCTTTCACTGAAAGACTATTCGGAAAACGGCATAACCGAACACAAAGCAAGAATACTTTTTGCAAGGCACTCTATATCTGTAGATCTGATTTGCGTGTGTGGAACAGCGGGAGGTGAGACTCTGCAGGAGAGGAGGGTAATATGAATGAGGCATATCGTTCAGGTTTCAAGAATGATAAAAAATAAACCTTTGTTGAGTTTACACGAGAGACCAAAGGTACCTTTTGAGAGGTCGTGGTCTGCTTGCAAAGTAGCTGATTTTGACAAACAGCAATTTATTGCTTGACGAATTTAAAATCTGTACTG